ATCACAACGGGACATACTGGACAGTAACCTCATGCAATACCGGCCTCAGTTGCATATGAACTTTGAACGCAAATGCTACTGGGGTGCTATCGGCTTGCAACCGTCGATTGATCTCGCAAATAGCTGCCGCCATCGATTTCGCGATCTTATTATTGTCGCCCCTAACCGGAAACAGGCCACAAGGCATTAAGCAAAGTGCAAGAGGAGGGAAAACCAAAGCGAGAATAGTTGAGGTCCAATCAATCTCCCGGGAGCTGTTATCATAAGTTGAGCGCAGTTGGTGGCAAAACTCCTCGAACGCCTGTCGTGATAGCCCAATTTCATACAATGCCAAAGAGTACAGTGGGATTTCGCGCTGGTTATATATATCCCACCGTAGGATGGTTCCATAATTTTCGTTCCCGAAGCGCTGATTCGCAAACTCGTAATTTGCGCGAATCCCAGCATTGATGTTGGTTGCATTTGTTTGGGCCATGTTTGCTGCTTCAGAATCCCAGGAATTGTTTTGCGGCATAGGGACATAGATGGGTTCTGGGACTGGGCGACGTGGAATATCGTATGACATGTTGGTCCTGAGTTGTTGTGGAAACAAAACTAGGAACTTATCTCTATGGCTTCATATAATAAACCTTGTAGTTATAGGAACTGTCTGGGACGGTGCTACTTCATACAACAATGCTCGCTTTTCTTTTTCAGAACGTCGGATCTAACTGTTTTAAATAATGCTCTTACTACTCTGTAGTACAACCACACATAAGCTCTAATTTGTTACCCGTTCATATAAGCTTCAGCTAGGCTCAGCGGCGTCATGAGATAGCCTGCCCAGACCGAAGTAAAGACATGATCCCGTCATAAGACACGGATTGGAACCTAAATTCAAAAAAGCTTGACTGTTCTTCAAAGAGGAATAGGTGCACCTATTGGCTAGGGCAAGTCGTGTGGCGCATCCCTAAAACGCCTTGTCGAACTCTTAACGCAATTCGCGCCCCAGATACTTAAATTAACGGCTTAAGATTAAGAATTGGATTAATTACATATTTTGATTAGTCGAATTGGAAGACTAAATCTCTCAGATACGTGGATTGTAGTGGTGGCCAGACTCCTACCACTTCCATGCCCACTGAAGACCCTCCAAGATGCGTTGATACCAATCTATCAATCTTCTACAAAGGTTTCCAAGTATCATCCATTTTTCATTAATTTATGGACCGCAGTCTGGACTTAATGTGGACCAAAATATCTGCGCTGGAAGACCTGATATAACTCCCAGTATCCTCGCCGTGTTGTGACTACTAGCATTCTCTTCCTGCATCGCTGTCGCCGACTCTAAACCTCACGATTTGCAACTACAAGCAGAAGAGACTTCACCATGTCCGTGGCAACTAAATGCTCTCTCTACTGGGTTGACTTGGATGATTTTGTGATAGAACGGGACAACGACACTGCAACATGCAATTCTGACATGACCAAGTGTGTTATCATTGGCCCATCTGGAGACAAGCTTGACGCGACATGCGATTCCACACTACAATATTCCGGCATCGCCAACCCATCGTATAGCAAGTATTTCTGTGTATGCGGAAGCAAGGCGGTCTCAGTCCCCGAGAACGTTAACTGCGCAGACAAATGCTACAATTTAAGTCACCCGTTTACGACGTGCAACTACCTTGATATTTACAACGGTTTCACGTCTGGTGGATCGTCTACCATCATTTTGGAAGATATGTGTGATGCGTACAGGTGTGATGTTTCAGGCGTTAACTGTACTTCCGACGGCTCTTGGCTCTATCAGTGTGACAATCGCAAGCACGGTTCACCAGGAATATCGTCGACGCATAGTTACGTATGTAACTGCACAGGACCAGCAGCCGTCCCATCGGGATACAGTGGGAAGCCAAATGGGACTTCTTGTGGGCAGTCGAGCGAAACGCCGGTGTCTCCAAGTCAGAGTACGGCCTCGCAGACCAGTAGCTCTGACCAGATGCCCGTCTACCCGTCGATGCCCGTAGTACTTGGCATTTTATTTGCCCTTAGCGCTATCTGCTGATTGACTGGAAACGCGAAAAGTATGTCTAGGAGGAACTATTCCAAGGGATTGGGAACGCTTTATGTTTATCTACTCGGACGAGAATGAGAATGTGCAAGGGTGTCCTAAAGTACTGTAGTTCGAGAACCTGCTTCTACATCAGTTCCCGAACTGCTGGAGTGTGGCTCTAGAATAATGCTACTTCTAGGACCCTTTCTGAGTGGTTCTAGGACCATTGTAGTTCTAGAACCTCAGTTTCAATACCGCAAAAATGGAATCATGTGTGATCATCTATGAAATCCTATTATTATTACGTGGGGTAAAATGTTTGAAGCATAATCTGTCACCAGCTACTCAGGGCTTTGCATATAAAAAGTTGCCATAGATAATAAAACGGGGATGGTGGCGATGGCTCAGTGAGCCTCGACCCACCAAAAGTCCATATCTACCAAACGTGGATGCAGAATGGTTTCCAAGTCGTTTTTAACCCCAAGCGGAAGGAAGGAGGATTGATAGATGGAACGGAGATGAACTGGATACGCTTGTTAGCCTCTTTTAGCTGGACCGACTTTGGCCTGGGCACGTCGTTGTCGAGTTTAGTGCTCATTATCGGGGTCTTCGTAGCCTTTCAGCTCGAGTGGTTGTTTATCGGTATATCTCGTATGTTTAGTTTCAATGTAGTCCTTTCTTTGATTACAGCGAGTGTTGACAATCATGGATCTGAGGGCGGTACAACATTGGAAATATCATAAAAACATTGATTCGTAGGTATATACGTTGCCATTTACAGTACAGGTTGACTGGTTTAATAAATGTCTATCATGCCCCCCGCCCGGCCCCCCGCGATATCCAACTATACCGTCTCAATGTACCGCTTAAACTCCCTGCTCACAGTTAGCCATTGCTCGCGTTGCTCACCGGGTTATCAACTTACCAGTCGGTCACAGCCTCTCTCCACACCCGCAACTCATGCTCACGAGTTGCAGTGAAGAAGTCCACAAATTCCCCATCCAGAATCTCGCGTGCAACACTATCCGATGCGTTGAAGCGCTGAAGCGCTTCTTCAAGAGTATTCGGTAACAAGTCTGGACGAGTGTTGTCCTTCTTCATTGCCGACACAGGCGGTACCTTGATCTCTAACTTCTTCTGTACACCGCGCCACCCAGCGGCGAGGATCACACCAAGTGCATAGTGGGGATGCAAGTCCGCTCCAGGAATACGAACCTCGAATCGAGTCGCGCCAGGCTTGCATACCGGTGGTGTGATGAGACGAATCGAAGCCATTCGGTCTTCTAGACCCCAACTCACATTCACGGGCGCCCAGAAGTTCTCCACTAGGCGTTTGTAGGAGTTGATGGTTGGTGCAAATAGAGGCATGATGTCTGGCAATGCTTCCAGAAGCCCAGCGAGGAATTGACGACCGAGGTCGGACAGCCCAACTGCATCGGGCCAGGGGGCGTTGTCATCGGGAGTCTCCCGAGCAAACAGGTTCTTGCCGTCGAGATCGCAAAGCGAAACGTGGATGTGACCAGAGCTACCTGGTTGACCTTGGATCGGCTTGGCCATGAAACAGGGCGTGATGCCGTGCTCGACACCTATTGATTTTGCCAGGAGCCTTCGATTGTTAGCGTATACCGGGGTGGGAAGGAAGGGTTGCATACTTGAACAAGGATACTCTGTCTGCCATTTCGCGAACGTCGCATACTTTGAGGGCCTGCCGAATAAGCGTCACATTCGTTTGGGTGCTAGTCAAGGTAACTCACTGCTTCGTATACGCCTGGCCCTCCCTCGGTGTGCCATCCTTCAATTCCGCAATTTATTTGCGCACAGGTATTGAAGATATCATAGAAGTATTTTTTAAACGCCACTGGTCGCGTTGCGCTGTAGGAGAAACTGCCTGCAGTTATAGGGCGCAAAGATCCAGGAGTGTTCTTTTCGAGGAAGGCTGCGATATTCTGAGTTTGGGAGCCATTGCTGTATCCGTCTTCGGAAGGGGTTTGGAAGTTCATGAATTCCAATTCCACTAATCTCGTTAGATATAACTTAGAAGGTACCAGCACTGAGGGGACGCTTACCACCCGCCATTCCCTGGCAATTCTCTGCCGCAAGCTTATCGCATATCGATTTGAGCATATTTCGGCCATCTGCAGACACAGTGTGGCCGTTCTGAATAAACCGCACCAAGAAGAAGGGGATGTCATCCTCCCACGGTATCCTCCTGAATGTGCTCAAATCTGGGACGGCGATAAAGTCGACATACCCAGAGTCCTTGGGTGCGATGTTTGCGTCGGTTGTGTAGAGGACATCCTGCATGTCCCAACCGAAAACTGCAGAGCTGAACCCGAATCCCTTTTCTGCAATGCCTAGGAATTTCTCCTTGGACATGACTTTGCCGCGGAGGATGCCATCGCAGTCAATGCCAGCGACTTTGACTTTGATATCGTCCGCGAGGAGACTCGAGAGGTTCTCTACCGTCACGTTTGTGGCCATTGTTTCTAGTTGTTAATTTTCTTCACAGATTGGTTCAGGAAAAGAAATTGGCTAAGGCAGAGCTTTAAAGAATCCTGGCGAGGGCTGCGGAGCTACCGAGCTTTGATGCGGCGGCTTAGCTCTCATGGCGTAATCCGTCGCATTGACGCTGCTCGGATATCCACCTGTTTTCTCATTGTGCCGTCTCGTGCGATAGTGATCAATCAATGCGACATTAACCGCGCCGCAGGTTGGAGAAGATGAACAGTAAAGGGACCTGCGGAATGTTTACCGCGGACCGCGCTGCGGGGGAAAAAAGACCGCGCTTATCGATAAAGCTAATGCCCCACTTACCCGAATTGGTAACTTGCTCATTCATCATTCATGGATGGCGCCTCGTCATTACTGTTGCGAGTTTTCCAAGTATAATTGAATGCGCTGCTGATATCTAGAGACTCAAAGTTTACTGCTTCCAGTAATTTATTGAGCTATCAACTGAGCCATCATGACGCGCATCATCCGAGTTGCTATCTTGGAGACCGACACCCCCATCGACCCCGTCCTTGAACGCTATGGAACCTACGGCGTGATATTCAACCGTTGGTTGAATACAGGGCTTCAAAGCCTTGGAGCTACTGATACCGAGATTCAAACAACGAATTGGGATGTGGTGAATAAATCCGAATATCCTAAGCCAGAGGACTTCGACGCCCTCTTGTTGACAGGCAGCAGTACGCCTCCCCAGCTAAACATAGGGCTTTCCTAACATATACAGAACACGATGCGCATGCAGACGTACCATGGATCAATGAGTTGGTGAAATATGTCCACGACATCTACGAGCAGCACAAGAAGCCCATTATCGGCATATGCTTCGGACACCAGATTGTTGCGCGTGCCCTCGGAGCACGCGTGGCCCGGAACGAGGAGGGATGGGAGATCTCAGCCGAACCATTTCCATTGAGTGATAGTGGGAAGCAGCTGTTCTCGAAGGAATCATTGGTTAGTCCTTCGAGGGAGTCTTAGGTTTTAGCTAACCGATACAGGTTATACATCAGATGCACCGGGATAATGTGTTCGAGGTGCCCCAAGGATGCATCAACCTTGGATCTAGCCCTCGATGCGAGGTGCAAGGATTCTATCTGCCACAGCGTGTTTTGGCTTTACAAGGACATCCGGAGTACGATGAGTTTGTGATGACGGAGTTGATCAAGCTTCGACATGCGATGGGACGTTTCGATGCCGAGCTCGCTAAAGATGGACTATCAAGAGCCGGGAAACAACATGATGGTGAGCTCATTGCCAAGGTCGCTTGTAAATTTATTCTTGCGTAAAATATAAATGATTTGGGGTTAATGTCGGATTTACGGACATATAGAGATAAATCGTAAAGATAATATGTCACTAAACACCGTCAACTTCATGTCGGTGCACTTTTGTAACGTTATGAGAATAACAGTCAATAATTTCTACAGAGAGGACCAGAACTATGGGGAATCCAAGCGAACTGTGCAGACTACTAAACGCTAGAGATTTAGTTGGGATCCACCATGGAGAATTACCGCGCCCACACCCACTTTCTGCTGTCTGTTATCGGAGCGCGCTATTATTGATAACGTTCTACCTGAGGTATATCTGAGCTGCGTAGCCTACAAACCTCTCAACACTCGAATCTCCTCACATATCTCGAGACACACATACACAACATCGAAGATGGCCAACCAAATTCGCACACTCTCCCCCTCCACAAACAAAGTCATTTTTGAGCACCCGGGGACTTCCCTCGACGAAGCTCGAGCTATCGCACAAGCCTCAGAGAATGCCTTCCAGTCCTACAAACAGCTCTCCCTTGCTGAGCGGAAGGCGATCATTGTCAAGGCATTAAACATAGTCGATGCAAATAAAGAAACTCTTGCCAATGAGCTCACGGCTCAAATGGGCCGCCCTATCGCCTACTGCACAAAGGAAATTGACACCATGCGCAAGCGCGCAGACTACCTCCTCAGTATTGCAGATGACAGCCTAAAGAATCTTCCTGGACAGGCAGAGAGCGGCTTCAGACGGTTCCTGAAGAAGGAACCACTTGGCGTCACTTTGATTTCGACTGCGTGGAATGTAAGGGAGCGCGCTCTGGGTTACATTTAGTTTCTGGCCACGAGCTAACCAGTCATAGTATCCGTATCTAATTACAGTTAACACTCTTCTTCCGGCCCTCCTCGCTGGAAACACCGTTCTTCTTCGCCCATCTCCCCAAACTCCCCTGCTCGGCGAGCGCCTCGTGTCGTATTTCCAAGAAGCTGGACTGCCCACTAATGTCCTCCAACTCCTCCATGTCGGCTCACTCGACGTTCTTGACGAAATTGTCAAGCTTCCACAGATCAAGCTCGTCTCATTTACCGGCTCTACGGCCGGTGGTATCCGCCTGCGCGAAGCAACCGCCCGCCGCGTCGTTCCTGTGAATCTCGAACTAGGAGGCAATGACCCAGCCTACGTCAGACCAGACGCAGATATAGCCTACGTCGCCGCTCAGGTAGTCGACGGGGCCGTCTTCAACTCAGGACAGAGTTGTTGCTCAATTGAACGAGTTTATGTTCATGCCGATGTCTACGAGAACTTTATTACCGAAGTACAGAAGGAATTGAGCACGTTAGTAGAGCTACTTCCACATCAACTCAAATCACATCATGAAATACTAACAGCGAGTAGGTACAAGCTCGGCGACCCAACCGATAAAACTACCACAACTGGCCCAGTGATCTCCAAGCAGTCTCTCAAGAACATTCAGGCCCACATCGACGATGCACTATCCAAAGGTGCTATTGACGCCACACCTGCGAATGCCACATTTACCTCCGTGCCCGCTGAAGGGAACTACATTGCTCCTAAGCTCCTTACTAATGTCACGCATGACATGGTCACCATGCGTGAAGAGACCTTCGGTCCTGTTATCCCTGTCATGAAAGTTTCTTCTGATGAAGAGGCCATTGCGCTTATGAACGATAGTGACTATGGCCTTACGGCTAGTGTTTGGACAAAGGATATTAAGGCGGGAGAGGCTTTAATTGAGAAGATTGATGCGGGTACTGTGTACATCAATCGGTGTGATTACCCGAGTCCGGTATGTTTTCCTTTATTTGTCCATCGCTGTGCATGGGAACCTCCATATTGACTGACTTAATATTAGGACCTGGCCTGGATTGGATGGAAGAACTCCGGCCTTGGATGCACGTTAGGACCGCATGCATTTGACGGGTTCTATAAGTTGAAGAGCTTCCATATTAAGGAGGAGCAGGTTTAGTGATATATGCTAAGGGATAATTATATGCATGAAACAATTTATTCTGAGCAACATCATCAACATAGCCTTTCAAAATAACGTATAGAGAGACTTACCATAATTCTCGAATACAATTCTTCTGACATGCATCCTTTGTATTATCAATATTAACTAGTCGTAACCTACCAATAACAAGAAAACACCATTAGACAGAGTCCATATCAACACAAGAGCCAACCATAGAACCTATCAAGCAAACCAAAACCACACATCCAATCTCACATCAACCACAACATACACTCCTATCAACCCCCAAAACTCCCCAAAATCCTCGAAAACAGCCCCGTCCTCTCAGGAAGCCTCCTCGAGCAAAACTCCCTCCATTCCCAAAACTTATTCGCATCCACCCCACCATCCGTCTCCTTCCACTCCTCCCGCGGCGGATAAGGCGACCTATCAAAAGACAAGCGAGTTCCAAACCTCGGCGAATCACTATACCCACCCCCAACATCAGACGCGCAAAGAAACTGCCCACTCTCGAGTTTAATGGTATATTTCTTCGGCAGGAAAGCCGCATCCGTGAGCAGCTGTTCATTAATGATACGACGGTTTACCGCGTCTCCCAGTGCAGGAATACGGCGTTTGGTGAGCGCTATCTCGATGTTGAATTGGGTGAGGTGGGATGGGCGTTTTGGGGGATTAGTCGGGAGGTCGATAGGTTGAGAGAGACATTCTGGGTTTTGGGGTTTCCAGTCGAATTCTGCGGCGATCCAGACTACGAGTTCGAGGCGGCAGATGAGCTGTTGAGAGTGTGGGTTAGTTATTGTTAATGTTGGTTGGTTTGGGGGGTTGGGGTCGGGGTATACGGGTATGTTGTATGTACGTACTGTGCCTGTGCCGTCTTTGTTGAATCTTATTTGGTTGGATTCGTATGGATCCCAGGACCAGGGTTCTCCTGTTAGGATGGAGAGGAGTGTTTCGCTCATGGTGGTATTCTGTTGTGTAGATATGAGGTTTTGGTGATTGATATCTCCAGCTTAGCCTCCGTTGGTAGTCTCGATAGGATAATTTATAAGGTTGGGTTCCAAGTGACCACTCTGTCCTTATAGCAGTTGCCTAGCTGCTAGCTGACGTCATGAAAAGATCTAAGTGCAGTTTGCGAATCTGACACAAGGAATAATAGCTTCAGCAGATGGAAAGTGGCTAGACTTGGTCTTTTAAGACTTTACTCCATGACCGGCGGGGCTTATTTGAGGCCGCCGAACGGGATCCAACCCTACTAGTTGTATTCGGTAAAATACGAGTAAATCGAATACTGCAGTTCATTATTTATTACACACCACCGGATCCTATGTTAATGTACACAAATGAACCCTAACTAAATCAGGCCAGCTCCAAGCTCACAAGCAACCCCTTAAACATTGTCTGCCGCTGAGACACATGTTAACATTTGCTCATCGGCCGACAGTAGACCCCCAACAGCCAAAACCCTATCTAGCAGCACTCCACTTAATGCTGTGGCTGGCCCACAACTTTGGTCCAGTGGGCATAGTCCACAGCCGGCGGCGCCGGTCCAGTACCAGGCGTTTTCGCACACTTAGCATAAATATCTAACGGACCGCGATCATTCTTCTTCTTGCCAATCAAAGCAGGAGGGATCAACATCTGGAGTTCATTAAACCCCTTAATCTTAGATAGACGCAGTGTCTGCTTAGGATCAACGTGAAGCTGTTTGAGATATGCCTCGATTTTCTTCTCGCCTTTACCGTCGAACCATTCATTCTCCGGGATCCAGGCTTTGCTGATTGCGTCCAGCTTGGCCTTGTTGGCGGTGATAATGCAGTACCTGGAAGAGTGTAAGGCCATTTTTGTTGAGAGAAGACAAGCCATGGGCAGGGCCTGGGAATGGAGGCTTGGTACTACTTACCAGTGGTCGGCGTTGGCTGGCCAGCCGTCGCGCTCTTGGCTGGTGTATACCCCCTGGCCGAGCTGGGCTACTGGTACCTCCTTGTCGAGAACGAGAGTCTCGCCTGCCTTTGCGTAGATTTCTGCTTGTTTCTTTGGGCTGGTCAGTAGGTTGGACTATAGATGGATTTGTTCGGGGAGATCAGCGTACAGGGTGCACTCTTCTGTAGCCGATGACGACATGCGTGGCGCGCTTGTCAAGTTCATCCCGGGCTTCGACGTCAATGGGCGAGGCGATGGCGCTGGTAAAGGTCAAGGCCAGAGCCAGAAGTTTGGCATAGGGGAACAGCATTGTGCTTTGATTCAGAAGCTGATAGACACGGGGTGGATGTGGAGAATATCTGGAGATGGAACTTGAGAATAGTCGAGAAGATATGCCTGAACTTTTATATCCTCATATTGTAGCTTTCATTTGATTTTCACTGTAGTGTTTCACACAGCGATTTCCTATTCGGGCTGCAGAGTTACAAGCGGATACAAGGATCATGCACGATATTGGGGGCTGGACCCACGAGGATACGAGAGTACGCTAAAGCTCACGTTCATATAGTTGTACTAAAGGATTGCATGTGTTTGGTGTCACTGCAGCTGAGCTCATCCATATCAGCTTAGTATAGCGAAGGTTGTTTGTGAAAAAAGCTAATCCTAAATTAGGAGCTGATTAGCACGCCAGGGCGCTTGCTACTTAGAGGGTCAAATGATCTGCTCGTTTCACCTATCTCTTCGCAATATCCAAGAAGTCCAGTATGGATCCTGCGTATTGAAGGATCGACGGCTGGCCATAACAATGTCCGCACGCTGTGAAAGATGACAAACTACCAACAACTACAACAGTCTAGTTGGATTATATCAAGACATACTCTTCTCTCTGTAAATGTTAGATACATCTTCCTCTGTAATATCAACAGACCCCTCTATAAAACGCGTATTTACCGTAAACCTCAATACGAACGACTTTAAACCCCCATCCTGATATTCTAAAAGTAAACTTAGTCTTCAGAGGGTACACAACCACCCAGACAGATATTCAGGGGTTACTGATCCACCCTCAGACCCCCTCTAACTCCACCACGACTTTGGGGTCCGGCCCTAACTTCCAATCCTGAATGGCTTAAGACCATAAGATGCCATAATGGTCTGATGAGGATGTGCAGCCGGCCCGCCCCACTGGTACAAGCTAAGAGGGTATTGGTGCATCTAGAGGCAGCTTACTCTGCAGTATGTAACCTAGATCTAAGCTATATATCTTAGTATCCGACCAGGAATCACTAAGCCAACTGAAAGAGGAATGAAATGGAAAATCTTTCGTGACGGGTGCCTGTTACATACAGATAGCGTCTAGTAGCGTGCCGAGGGTCTGGGCTCGGAAGCGGGCCGATGGACTTGGTTCGGTAGCTTGCCGACATTTATCGGCATTTCCGATGACTTCGGAGATCTTGGTTTTCATTCGGTATTATAATGTTGGTTATGGTGGAAGGGACCGTGGTCAGCCATGTGCTGGGGTTCGTCTAGTGGCTAACTAGTGATGTCCTGCGCTGCGTAGAAAGTCCCTATATCTACTCAGATTTCCGGGGAAGGGTTCAAATAGATCACGATATTTTCGGTTTATCTCTGTTTCCTCTTTTCTTCCTCTTCCTCCTCCTCCTTAAATCTAGAGAAACACCGAAAACAGAGTTAGTACAAAGTTGTACCACAGAGCAGTTGCCCAACCGACTCTCAGCATTTACCTTGAGAATTCACGGTTAATTATAAATATTAATATCAAGGCCCGTTGCATGATGCCCATGGTCCATTTCATAAAATACAATATTGCAATGAGACTCGGGCCATACGCACAAGGTAACCGGGACTACTGGGCTGACCTTCTGGTCTAGATATTGGATAACTTCATACACTTGATTCGTATGGTCGAAAGTCAGGATACTTCGATCGTTGAGCGAATCATCCATGTTGACACAAGTGTACTTCTACCAAGAGCTCCGTAGTTTTGTCATCATAATTTGTTCATCTTATATGCATGCATGCTAAACTAATTTGATAGAGCAACCTAGATCCAATTTAGGATTATTTAATAAAACTTCACCGGAAGAAGGCTCTATCATAGGATGATTCTTATACCCACCACCAATTACTTATATAGGATACACCAATCCTGTAAATTCACCAGGTTATCAGTAGCTCGCCTAGATTCCACAAGCTTAAACACTAGATATTTGAGTAAAGGAGATGTGCCAGATATTCTTGTACGCATAGATCGATCAAATATATATATACTATGATCTTTTCCCAATTCCAGAACAATAGTTTTGTAAACTGAGTGTCTGGTGAGCCCCTGGGCTGTGTTGCATCAGTGGATGATACCCAATTTAGTGGATTACATAGATGCACCGAGACGGAGATTTCTGTTGTTATGATATGGGGTTGATGCACCTACACTTAGATGCATACAGTATTGCTAGCTAAGTAGTACGACGAGAGCTTAGTATTAACAGCTGCACACAGTACAAGCACATTAGAACCTGGCAAAGACCAGATAAACTTAAACCAAACAACCCCGCACCAGTCCATCTACACGCTTCATGCCCCTCTCAATTTTATCTTCCATAGCAGAAGAGAAAAGGCTCCAATAAGCACCCGTCGCATACGATGCGACGCACCGCAGAAGCATTTGGTCCCCAAAGATAGATTCCAGAATGCAAACTAAACCAAATCAAGTAATATGCTTGAGCGCGCTCCGGGACCGCGCGAGGGGTAATAAGTTAATAACAACAGCCCCACGCTTATCACCGTCTTATCGCAACCGAGGCAATGAGGGGTGGTCCTGTTGTGGATCGCATTTCGATCCAAAGGCAAGGGGATGCAATGGTTGGAACTCTAACCGCGGTGTGGAGCTTGGATTGGGTGCTCGCCTCACCGCAATTGCTGGTTATCGTCTATCTGGTCGATGCGGGGTTTACTTTATAAAAGGGGGAAGTTTCTATTCTTTATTTATTTGTTCGGTAACTTAACTAACTACTTGTTAACTGGAAAGTTGGTATTGTTTCTTTATTTCTGGATTTTTGGTTTATATTTATAAACGAGTTATTACAACCATAACACAATGGTCGGAAGATTAGCTGGGAAGAATGCCATCGTTACCGGTGCTGCTGGGTATGTACCATATCTGAGTCCTGGCCAGGCTGATTACTGATTAGGAATGCTCTGCAGAGGCATCGGTCTCGAGACGACGATCCTCATGCTTCGCGAAGGTGCCTCCGTCCTCATGACCGATATCAGCGAGCCGGGGCTCCAGAAGGCCCTTGCGAAAGTAAACGAGGTGGTGCCCCAGCGTGACGGCAAGGTCGAGTACCGCGTGGTCGACGTATCGAAGGAATCTGAAGTCGAGGCGGCAGTGGCACACCTAGACTCCTGGGGCGGCCTTGATGTGATGTTCAACAACGCCGGAATCATGCACCCCAAAGATGGAGACTCAGAGGAGACACCCGAGGCGATCTGGGACATGACGATGAATATTAATGTTAAGGGCGTGTGGTACGGAAGCAAGCATGCCGTGAAGAGCCTCCGGAAGCACGGCAAGAAGAAGGGTAGCGTGATTAACACAGCAAGCATGGTTGCGCTTGTGGGTGCTGCGACCCCTCAATTGGCGTATACGGCTAGCAAGGGTGCTGTATTGGCTATGACTAGAGAGTTGGCTATTGTGCACGCCCGAGAGGGCTTCCGGTTTAACTCTTTGTGCCCCGCTCCTCTTAAGTATGTTGTTCCTCGTTTGTTGTGCGAGAGACTCCTTGAGCTGACAGTGTTTTAGTACGCCACTTTTGCAAGACTGGCTGGGTGATGATAAGGAGAAGCGTTTCCGTCGCGAGGTTCACTTCCCTACTGGCCGTTTCGGTGAAGCTATTGAGCAGGCTCATGCGGTTATCTTCCTGGCCAGCGATGAGAGCAGCTTCGTTAACGCCGCTGACTTTGTCGTCGACGGTGGTCTGACTAAGGCTTATGTGACTCCTGAGGGCCCTGCCACGGAGGCTCCCAAGAACCTGGGCCAATAGATATAGGCGGAGGTAGACCGTCGTTCTGTCGGGAGTTCATGAATGATGATGTACTGTATGAATATAGCCTTTTAATCAACCCTCATGCGAACGAGATCCAGATTTGATGTTGTTGCATTGCCCGACAAATATTCCACGGGCCAGCCTCATCTAGAGGCATTTGCCACATGATTTCCAGTAGTAGAAGGGTCCTTTGCATGTTTCCAAGACCGAAGGTATTTACCATTGTAGTCAGCCGTTGTCGTAGTTGCTCCTGCTGGTCTATGTCATAGAGACAGGATCCGACCACAGCGATAGGCCAGCAGAGACCGGAATTGATGCGAGCAGTCGCTGATAGCTGGTTCAGATAGGTCATGGCCTCCGTAATTGCAGTATTAATCAAACCCTGATGCATGCCGTGCTCTGTTCGGGAGAAAGACCCCAGAGAGGTGTATAGATAAAGTAGCATAGCTTGTTGGAAGACTCGACCAGCCAAGAAGACCTCAGGAGTGACGAACGAAAATGGGTTCCATCGCATGATCTGAGCCTGCAAGGACCCAAACATCGCGATATCATCGGCTGTTGGCATGGCCGGTTGGCCATCGAGCATCATCCACTGGCGACCCAAATCGAAGATGCACGGTATCATGAGCAGTAACTCTAGCCAGCAGCCACAGAGATTCCCCACATACTCGGACTCTAGTAGCTGACGAGCTTTCTGTTCCAGATCGAAGTTGAGGAGCAACTGATGGCTGACCCGCGCATCAATGGAGATCATGCTCACGGCGGCGGTGTATGTGTAGTATTCAATGACAAAGTCTTTCAGGTCCTTCGGCACGGCCGCATCACTCAGTGAGAGGAGACGTGTTAGCAGTGAATTCGCAGCTGATAGATGGTCAAAGATCGTCCCGTTCATATCCCCCTTGGCTGTCTGTCCAGGTGTTAGCGGCCTAGTTTTTCTTTTACGTAATGGGGACAGTACCTCGGTGAAACACATCACAAGAGCCCCAACCGTGAGCATTAACGGGTTCGACTCTTTCCCATCGATAAACTCGGTGACGCCCTTTCGGAAAAGCTGCAAAGCTTTGGTGTAATGGCTCTGAGCTACCTCGTCGGAGTCGTTGCGACACCGAAACGCCCGGTGCGCCGCGCTTTGCGTCAGAACCAGTTGCAGGAGCAGGTCACTGGTGAACGCTAGCGGAACGATCTGAACCAGGAAGGGGTTGACGGGAGTCGAGCCGTTGGCCATGACATCGGCTGTTGTCGCGAGGTAATGGCTCAGTAGTTGAAAGGATTCAGGGCTGTACCCCGGGAGCATGGATAGACTGCGAGGCATGAAGTTCCCAATTGTCATTGACGTGGGCGAGTCCGGCCCCGAGATAGAACTTCGCGGGGTAGCGTGCGAATAGCCCATTGGAACTAAAAGAGCTTGTTCATCCGTCGGTGGTGAAAATGCCTCCGTAGCCTCAAAGCCGTTCGACAGAGCGGATGGGGACCCTGCCGATCCAGATGGTGAAGTCGGTGACCCCGACGAGCCACGATGCGTTCGTATTGTGCATGGACTTTCAGGCTGGTCCGGTACAGCTTGTTGATTAATATTATTAGAGCCACTTGGCCGTGTCGAGCTGGCGGGTATATTGACCGGCCATTCACAATTGAGCTTGTTCCGCACGCATCCCCCACACGATGGCCGAACTTCGTCGCACTTTTTCTTTCGGCGTCTGCAGGTGTAACAGCCCGTCCTTACGCGAACAATCGGCTCTGTCCGAAGCCGTTTATTGGGTGGCATGATGGTGAAATGAGAAGTGTGGGTTAGCGTGGACTAGGACTCGGATAGGAGTCAACGGAAAAGAAGAGCAGAGCAGACGGTGTGTGAACTGGACTCCGTACCTCATGTGGCCAAGATAAGACGGCGTGGAGTGGGTGGAGTCAATACGATTGGTCCAGAGTCGTCGGAGGAATCGCCCAACCACTGAAGTTGTGGGGTTCCGATAAGATAAGGTCATCTTGCATCATCCATCAAAGTTACTATATCCTACATTGCTGTCGGTCATTGGCAATAGTTTAGTTTACTAGGTAGTCGTGTCCAGTGGATGGACCGCCCATTCATTAACATAGTAGTTGGGGCATCATTAACCACATTTTCTATTAGTGGTATGTAGGGTATCAGATATTTACATGCCCTATCCATCAGATAAATGCAATTTGAACATGGCAGGAGGCATTTACGCAGTAATACCGGACTCAGTCTTTCCGTTCTTCTGTTGATAAGAATAAAGTTAGCAAAGCGCTGAAGCAAGTGAAAGCCCAAAATGCTAGCGAAGGAGTAATATACCAAGGTCCTGCTATACTTGACGCCGACATTGTTCCCACTGACAGAGTCATACGGGATAGGGCTGGTATAGTTAAAGGTGGCAGTCAGGTTCTTCCACGTTTGCTGGACAATGGGCAGAATTCCATGGCCGGCAGAGCAGCTTCCCTTAGTCAATGGGACTGGCCACTCTGGGGAGAAAGTGTTGTATTCTCCAGCAGACAGCGGACCGGGGTGGGTCTCGTTCTGCAGTAAATTGCCGGTTTCAACCTCCCAGTTGACGTAGCCGGTCTTCTCGGCCAACCAGCTGAGCAGGTTGGCTCCGCAATCCCAACGACCCAGCGATGGGAGACCCCAGTTGGCCGAAAGGGAGGCGATGATGGAGTAGTGAGTGTAGAAAGTGTCGTCTTGCTTGCCCCGAAGGTTCTCCGGGACAGCGCCTCCAACGAAGAAACTGTAGACTTTGTTGCCAATCTCATAAGTATCATTCTCATCGAAGGTCAAGAGGATGAGGGTGTCCTTGGTGAAGTACTCATCCTCCAGAAGCTCGGAGAGGAAACGCCAGGTCCAAGAGCCAGCAAAGGTAATGTTGGTGTCATGGGCGTCGTTGGTCATGTTTGGGGTGACAAAACTGTATTGAGGTAATCGCTCGTGCTTCAGATCGTCATAAAAGGTGGTGAAATTCTTGATCTGGCGCAGGCGGGTGGCGTCTTTGGTAACCGAGTCGTAGAAGACCATGGGATTATGCTTCCGGACGTAGTCGTTCGCTCCCGTTTCCTGATTGGAATAGTTTTTTCCCTGGTAGCCGGGATACGGCATGTGCTCCTGGTACTCGCCCCAGGCAATATTTTTCACGTCGAACATATCGGCAATGGTAGACACATTGGCAGGAACTTGGTTGAAGTTATCATTGTCCATACCAAAGGTGTCACCTCCAGCGGAAGCGCAGTAGTTGGGCTCCGACGGATGTGTGATTGCCCAGTAGTTGGTGAGAAGGAGACCCTTCTCGGCCAGCTTAGAGAGATGAGGGTCTTTCGCGGCAGACTCATAGTCCTAGAGTTACAGTCAGAACGACTCTCGGGCACGTGTTTGCAAACTTTCGGTTGTGCAAAAGAACGGACATACCGTGTTTTCTAACCAGATGTTCACAAAACGGTTGAATGCAAGACCCTTGACATTAGAGACGGGAGAATGAGGCAGAACGGTAGCCTGGGCAGCTTGGATCTCCTCTAGTGAGGGGTTCTGCTCGGAGGATGTCTGAGCGGCGGCGAGAGATAGACCCCCAAGTAGGGCCACGAGGGATTGTCTGGTAAGCATGATGCCTGTTGCCTCGGTAGAAGGAGGAATAATACAATTAAGATATACTCGAATTCCTCTTACAGGAGTGGAGTGAGGAGAGGAAAGAAGACAGGAAGTCGGATCCGTCCCCTACTTATATGCATTAAGAATCGATACCCTTACATATGAGCGATTCAAATTTGCAAAAGTGGGGATAGGTGGGCATTGGCTCGGTCCAAGGCCTTGCTTGCATGACCCATACGACTTCATGGATAGTAGTGTCGGAATTTCCCGTTCTACCAAGCAAATGACAATCTCAATGTAACTTTGAAGAGGGCAGTTCTGCACGTTGTAAATGGATGACCGCTCACTGGCTGCGGGGGATCATCCGCCGGGTCCCAAAATGGAAGGCAATCAGCTGCTTCAGGCTCCGTCGGTGATTGGATGATCCGAGCCAACTACGGGCGGGTCCGTCCTGGTCATATCCCGGACACGTGCCCCCGCTGCCATCAATCATTGACAGTCTTCCTGGACTTTTGTTCACCAGGTAGCGTGCCTAGTTTCCTGATATTTCTTAACGTAAAAAATTTCTATGAAAAGTGCCGATCCTAATCTAAGATTCGAATGCTACCGAGAACACATGTAACTTTATTCGTGACTAATTTGGGAGATGTTTACGACTGCTCCGTAGGATTATATATCTCAAGCTTACTTGGCATTAGTTAAGCTCTTTTGTGGTTCCATTTAAAGGGCTTATTTCTTAGATACCAAGACAATTTTACTCTTCGATAATTCATGCCTCAAGCAGTTCAAGCGGCATATGATGATATCAGACGTATCTACATCGCTTAGCTCTAGCACTTCAGATCATGCTAAATACAAGTGTAATGACGTTGGTGGGATGGCTCTTTATCTCTCGGCTACGCTAGACATTGCGGCCACCCCGCAACAATGATTGTGTATCAGTTTCCGTCAGCAGGTCATGACTTGCTTAGCTTCACCATCTGGCTACTAGTTCTGCACACCCTGGAGAAGTGCATGTCTCGCTCAGGTGACATACATAAACCCTGTACGAGTAACCCTTCTCTGACGCACCTTATCCCAGTCGGACATGCATGGTAGAATTGATAGGGAACAATAACCAATAAGGCACCTGAAGGGATAGTTTGGTCATGATATTATTTACTACCTATACGAGCTAAGGCGGCCGGAGCCAGCCCTCGAAGAATCTACGCAACGTAGTATACGAAAAGTATACAAAGTGATCCGCAAGACAGTATATAGTATACCAAAACGCTACGACAAGTATAGTAGTCACTCTACTACAGTGTGGAAGGATGGAATATATAGAAACACTTGAATATGTACTCAATTTAGTTTTTCGTGATCAACCGAGATTGTTGATACAGAGTTACCTTCACTATTAATTGATCATCATCAGTACGTTCGTACTTCTCTAACTAGTATCGAATATATGTAATTGATCGACCTGGCTCTTTGGACTCTCACATATGCACCTTTGGTATATATACGCGGCACTTGCCTATGCGATACGAGCGTTTAAGCAGGCTTGATGTGTTTAAGCATTCCCCCCTTTTAGTTCGAATATCATGCAATTGTTCACATGCTGTGTGTCCAGACTTTCCCTCCACGTCAGCCCAAATGAGCTCCGCGCCTTTATAGTTGAATCCCTTAGATTTCCAGATCATCTTTTCAAGGCATTCCACTGACTGGTCACTCCAGTCCTTTGTATTGTTGATGATATTTTGTAAAACATGTCGCGTAATAACATCGTGATTGCACTTTTTGAGAAGAGCTCGCAGTGTGAGCAAAGCTTTTTCGTGTTTTTCAACCGTCGATGCAGTTACCAGATCTATCCCAGTGACGCAAATCTTCTTGTTGACACAAAGAAAAAGCTCAACTAATGAATCGCCCCAAAGCTCATTCCTTGTAGCTCTTGTAAGTAGTTTCTGTCCGAGTGTCATGTGAATAACTTTATGACTATGTCTTAGAAGAACTTCTAGCATTCGTAGCCCATCCGCATTATTTTTGACAGCAGCGAACAATAACTTTGAAGAAATTCGTGAAGCCAGTTTGGGAGATCGTGAAAGAACTATACCCATTATGCTCGAACTCCATTCAGCCGCAATGATCGGCAATGTCTCCTCATTAATTAGAATTTTGTTGTTCCTCACAAGGGCTTCTAAGTATTTCGTTGACTTATCGAACTTGATATCATAATGAATCGCGAATGCCCAAACTAACTCCTTGCTTATCTCAATTGGTACAGTAGGAGGCCAATGGCATACTAACTGCCGTAGTATTCTTCCCCGATAAGCAAAGTTCCACGCAGCAGCTATGAGGGTTTCGGTATTTAACAGCTTCCCTAATGCAATATGCGGAGCTCTACATATTAGAAGAGCAATGTCCATGTGGTGATCTTTATCTCGGAGCACCATGGAGAAGTCACAGGGTCGCACGGGCATACCTCGGTCCAGAAATGTCCGAATGGTATGAATATGACGGTATTTAACTGCTAAACTAAAGCATGTTTCACCGTCGTCGTTCACCTCATTCCACTCCCAATTGGACTTTTTACCAATTTTTTCGATGACCGAGCTCAGACCAAAGGCACCAAGCAAAAATACCGGAGAAGACTGGGAGCGGAGAACATCAGAGAGCCAGCACCAATGTTCTTCAAATACTGATCCTATATCCATAACCTCATGAACGGTCTTCCTACACATCTCATGCCAGAGAGTATATCCAGATCTTGATTTTCGGGGCAGAAAGAATCTCTGAAGGAGGCTTAGTATTTGAGGATCAGAGGTAGCCTTGTTTCCCAAAGACCTGACGAACAACATCCAAGAGAACAAACAGTGGATGACGAGTGGTCTGACAGCGATAAGCCCATTTTGTGGGTCTAAGGCCTTTTCGCAGTAACTTGTGTCACTCAAAACTATCATTGATTGTTTTGCCAAGTACAAGTTACACATTCCGGTGCTAAAACTATTTTTTAAATACTCTCCAGCCGATCCGTGGGAGAATTGGAAAGTATCTCTTTTTTGGTCATAATCGACGAAAAGAGAACAGGCGTTACTGATGTACTGCGCGTTCAAGTCACGAGGAGGGAGCTGGATGTTTGTTGTATTTACATCTTGCGCAATTGCGGCAATCAGAAGACTTGATGTGACCGGCTTCGAGGAGGCTAACATAAACATAAAAGCTTTGCGTGCGTGTTCCCAAGCGTGGCGTTTCTCGATGTAATACATGATGTCGTCATACCTCTCTGTCAATCCTTCCGGAAGTCTTGAGATATATTCCAGTCTCTGGGACTGTAAGTCGCAGTCCAAGATTCCTCTGGCCAAAAGACAGACTAGTAGGATCCTTCAACCTCTTGTCAATATTAGCTCGTCGAATAGCAGATTCCAAAACTTACTGTCCATAGCCCTTGTCTGTTATCTTATTAATAAAGAGATTCTCGTCCTCCTTTGATATTGGATGTGTCAAAAGCCTGCTTCGTTGTGCAAAAATGGCCTGGATTACAGCCCTTTCATCATCACTCCTATCAACAGCATCTAAATCGATGTATGGGTAATCTTTCAGGTCGGCCTTGATCTGCTGGGTCTTGTTGCTCGATATCATCACTTTGAGTTGCTTGCAGTCATGCACCAAACGTTGCAACAACTCTAGAATCTCATTCTGTAAGCACAACCTCAATTCATCCAATCCATCGATGAATAGGAATGGACTTTGTTGTAGCAGCATCATCTTTGTCAAGTACTTCGCGCAGTCAGTGGTACCGATTCTTGCTGAGTGGTTCCCATTTGCTTGGTTGCGTTGGAGCGTCTCCATCAACTCACTGGGAACAGACGTCTCATCAAGTATAGCAAGTTGCTTGATGAGGCTTCGAATGACCCATTCCAATTCCCAGACAGCATGGGTACTTCCCAAGAAGAGGTATAAAATCGTGCTATCCGGTTTTGAACTCGAAATTCCATCAACTATTTGACATGTCAGTACAGATTTACCAGCACCCACTATACATCTCTCTAGTTAGCTAACTGTCCGCTTGTATGTCTCATGGATACGCTGGTGATAATACCTCTTCCATGAATCCAGAGAATCGGACTGTCCTTTGAAAATGCCCACTGATGGAACTGGCAGTGCTGGAAGACCCATCCTCCGGTTGACACTAATATTGTGTCCTTCAGACGCTGAAATTCGTCCTCATGATTGTAGTTTGAAATGAATTTGATCATTTTCCTGGCCTCTTTGCGACTGTGTTGGTCCTTTTCGCAGTCCTTATGGCTCTGAGCTATAATTTGATTGAGTAACGTTTCGGTTTCTTCCCACAAATCCCTGAGCATAGCAGGAGGAAAATTGGCATAGTAATATCGTTTGGTTGTGTCTGCGCCGCATAGTAATATGACCTGGGAAAGAAATCGCAAGATGCCTCTATGAAGGCTATTCAATTTTGAAACGCTCCCATTATTGTAATGGATTTGAGATGGTCGCATGTCTGGGAGATGTGCTAAACTCTCCCTGCATCGATAAAATGTATCCCGTAGAGTCTCCACCATATTTCTATTCATCATAATAACCTTGAGACGATATTAAGCAAGTGATCACAGACTCCCCGGGTTTGCAGTACTTACCTCCGTGACTATTCTAATCAGAGCCCATGGAAAGCCAGCATAGAGTGGAAAAGCAGCTGTGGCAGCCTCTCCGAATGGTCCAAAGAAGCTTATCCATTTGGGAATCCTGTACACAATACCTTGATACCCAACAGACTTCTTTCTATCATTCAAAAGCTTGAACCTTCCATGAATGCCATCTACTATCCGGCCGATCGCCTCATCAGTTGTACCGTCGGCCCTTCGGATAAAGAGGCGGATCCTATCCTGCTCTTCTGCAGACAACTCCAGAAGAAGCTCTTCGATAGTGAGGATTCTGGGAACCGATGACTCAGGCATATCGCTCGAAGCGATTTCAATCATATAGTCCTGGTTATCGGTGGGCATGCTGGGCTGAAGAGCAATACTAAAACGTACGATAAGGTAGCGAAGAGCTTCTGAGAGGTCTGGATCTATGAACCACAAATAGTCGATCCAAATTGTTTAAACTGTGACTTCCAGCACACCTTTAGCTAGGTAAGATAACTCATAAAACAATCGGAAAATATGGGGTATTGTCGGTTTTCCAGTGCGGGAAGTGCTCGAGGCGAGATTATGTACTCACAAAGGTCATTTCCTGACTCAAAAGCGTATTATAGGAAAAGTAATAAAAATGTTAGTTGTCCTGTGAGTACCAGAGCTATCTCGACATGGTGGCTGTGAGATTCTTGGCTTCTATAATACCCAATCTTAGGCCACCACGTGGTATTCGAGTATTGACCAACACAGCCGCGCCGCAGGTTGGGGACTTTTTGTTGTGATAATTAATACTGGTTTTCTGAACTACAATCCCAACCTAGAAGACGTGACTCAAGTGTGCGATGGCTGTGCTGAATATTCAATCCTCGAATGAGGCGTAATACTGTACAAGAGCCAAGGACTCCAAGAGAGTACTCTAGAAAAATCTAATAACGAAAGCGGTTAATGAAATGGTAAGTGAGTTGGAAAGAAAAAGAACAGAGATCGTTGTTGTGGACCGGCCCATCGTACTCAGTAGCGAATTCAACGAGCTCTCAAGCTTTTCATACCAACACTACACGCGTCATGAATCATGATGAAGGTTTTTATTGATTCAGCAGAGCTTGGGTGTAAAGCTGTAGAGTCCAGTATCACGCAGCCGACTTCCTCCTATTTTTGGTTTAAATTTCAAATTTATGTTATGTTATGTTCCCATGTTTGGTTTTCTTGCCCTTATAATGTTTCAGCCTAGAGTGCTCGGAGGCCGTCGCTATGGAAATGTTGCCATAAATTCTGTATCGAAAGGCAAGCCCTGTCTAGACAGTTAGACACTTCGAGGCGCTAGCATGAGCTCCATAAATAGCGGCTGTGCTTAGATTCGGGATCGATATACTACCAAGACCAATCAATACGCCTAGAAAGGCTTCTGGACGATTATAAAAGATACCGGTAGCAAAATATGAAGTGCATTTCAGATGATGTTCGATTGCTTGGTTGTTCAAAGCGCTAACAACGAGGGTCGCCGCTTTAGACATTGGGGCCGCTGTTTTGCACCCGCCAAGCTTCCTTGTTGTCGTTGTCTACACCACCCTTACATTCTGAATCGCTACCTCACTGTAGCTTTTGTTATCTTTAGCTTTAGATTGAGTACTTAAAGTATATTACCTTTGCATGAACGTCATACGTCTCTTTTTTCACGATAAACCGCGTTGAAACGCCACGTAAAATGAACGCCATGAGACGTTCACTGACACGTTCCCTTTCCTCACTTCGCAAGAAGCCTTTTCCAATCCCCCATCCTGGGCCTCTTTTACCCCAGAGTGAGCCTTTGGATGAGGAAATACGTGCAGGGTATATAAATCCAAGGACTTTTACCCCGCCAAGCCTGGTGAGGTACTCGCCGATCGCTATCAAATCCTTGTCAAAGTTGGCTGGGGTACCACCTCTACTGTATGGTTTGTTCGTGATATGCGGAGGTATTGTCGCTCCTATTCCCGATATAAAAGCGATAGCTGCTAAAACTGCTTTTTAGCAATGAAGACGAGCCAGAAGGCGTTGTAGCACTGAAGATAGCTAATACGAACTCGCATATAGCTGACAATGAATGCGCAATTGAGCAGTATATTGCTGGAAAAGACTCATCCCATCGTGGACTTGCGGTTCTCCGAACATCCTCAGAGTGCTTTGAAATTACTGGTCCGGAAGGACGACAAGTTTGCCTCGCATATGAGCCCATGAGGGAGCCTCTTTGGCTTTTTCGGAGACGTTTCAACGATGGGATGATCCCTCTTCCACTTCTCAAGGCCTATATTCGCATTCTTCTTGTGGGTATCGATTACCTTCATACAGAATGCAAGACAGTACATACCGGTACGTAGTTCTCTGGTGGTCGATTCATGGCCATGATGCCAAGCTCACAACATGTCATGTAGATCTAAATCTTGAGAATATCATGGTCTCATTCGAAGACCCAGCAGTGATGGGCGACTTTATGAACGACCATTTTGATCAACCAATGGAATACAAGATAGACTCCATAGGCCGACCGGTATATCGTCGTCACAATGACTTTGGGCCCCTGAGACAACTAAGAAATATTATACCAAAGATCGCTGATTTTGGACATTGTGCAAGACTCGATTGTGATGACGATTGGGGTATATATCCTATTCAGCCAGACCACTATCGTGCCCCAGATATAGTCCTTGGTTGTGGTTGGAGGATGAGCACGGACATATGGAACTTGGGTGCTATTGTGCGCTTGCACCCTATTGTGATTTGTTATATGGCTAGTACAATCTTAGCTATGGGATCTGATTGAGGGCAAGGAACTATTCAGCCAAGTCTATGATGAAGAAGGCCAATATCAGGCAAAAGCGCATCTTGCCGAGATGATAGCCTTGCTCGGCCCACCGCCCCAAGAGGTGATCGCAAGATATCGCTCGTTGCTCGAGTATGAATGGCCTCAACCTATGGCAACGGTGGATGATAGTGTCTACGATAGTTCTAATCAATTCTTTGGGGGTCCATTCTTTGATAGTGATGGTATTTGGATTGCCTGAATGAAGCCAGCCTACAGACCTTGCTAACAAGCTGACAGGAAAGTTCTTATATAACAACCTGGTTCCAGATAGGAATCTTGACGATACACTCCCCTCTCTAGAAAAGAAGGAAAGGGAAAACTTCCTGTCCTTCGTGAGGTTAATGCTTGCTTGGCACCCGGAGGAGAGAAAGACGGCACGAGAATTGCTCGAGCATCCATTTCTTCGACTAAAGTGAGCATATGTTGGTGCAACCCATATTGATATCGCCATCAAGGGGTATAATCCCTTACATCTAAACTCCACTACAAGCATGTACTATAACTAGGGCTACTGTCTCTCTCTCTGCTCACCATTTGTTTTTTTATATTTATAATACGTACCATGCATCATCTCCCCGCAGCCTGCAATATGCACTGACGTAGTATTGATGAGAAGAAAATGCAACATGATCGTTGTCAAACTGAGGAAGGGCGAACCCCGCATTACTTGGCATCCAGATAGGCAAGTCAACGCAGGGGAAGCCTTCCGAAAACTCGGAACTCGTATCAGCGGAGTCGATCAATTAAGTTTGGTACATACCCATGTAGATCACCCCGCAACAGATACCATGAAATCAATTTTGGAAAGTATATGCTGATAGTGATATTGTAGGGAAATAGTGGCTCAAGATCTTGAATCATGAGGAAGGTATTTCCTTTAACCCCGCAGACGAGGGATATTTTACCTTCATTTATATGCGCCGTCATTTGCATAAACCACTCACTATAATACCTAAAAACAACCTCCAGCTCCTTGACATAGCAGCCAAAACACCAATCTCACACTTCTATACTGAAACCCTCACAATGGACGTCCCCGGAATAGCCCTAATAACAGGCGCAGCATCCGGCATCGGCCGCGCCTGCGCCCACACATTCGCGCGCGACGGCGCAAGCGGCATCGCCCTCCTCGACCTCGACAAAACAGCCCTAGAAACTGTGCAAGCCGAAATCAACTCCCAGCTCAGCCCGGATAAGACACCCCGCTGTCGCGTAGAAATCTACCCGGTCAACGTTACCGACGAAAACCGGGTAAATGAAGTCATCCAAAGCGCAGCGCAAACCTTCGGCCGACTGGACTATGTAGTCAACGCAGCCGGAATAGCAATGAAGCATCAAGGCGGCGCGGCCTTCGTCGAAACGTCCGATTGGCAACGCATTGTCGACATCAATCTTACGGGAACTTTCTTCGTTCTGCGGGCTGCGGCTCGGATCATGTTGACCCAGGAACCGATCCGGTCGAGTATTGATGGACGGCCGTTACAGAGGGGGTCGATTGTGAATTTCTCGTCGATTCAGGGTGTCGCGGGCATTCCATTGTCGACTGCTTATACGGCGACAAAGCATGCTGTTATTGGGTTGACGAGGACGGCGTCGGAGGATTATGCGAAGGATGGGTTGAGGGTTAATGCCATTTGTCCCGGGTATACGGAAACGCCGATGACGACGAAGTCGCCGTTGGTTTTGCAGGCCATGCAGGAGAGGGTGGCGACTGCTGTGCCGATGCAGCGCATGGGAGAGCCGAGGGAGATTGCGGATGGCGTGGTATATCTTTCTGGGGGGAGGAGTTCGTTTGTTACGGGCACAGCGCTTTTTGTTGATGGCGGATATACGCAGCGTTAGGTATATCATGCTATGTTTGGTGGAGTTATGTGTGGATGTTAAAATATTCGAATGTTATAAGCTTTGATTGACTATTGTTATGACCTCCTGTCTGCTACCCTACCGTAAAAGAAGCATCCATTCTCATTAAATTAAGCCATGTTGCACTTATCCCATTCCCACAACGTTTCTCCCTCCAGATCCTCTCAATCCTAGCCAGTGTCTCCCGGAACGAGGATAATCCACTACGCTGGGCGGAGTCCTTAAACCATTTCGAAAACGACATCTGCAGCTCCCCATCGTCAGCCTCACACGCAGCAATAAAAGCAGCCCAAATAAACCCCGCAGAGGCATGCAACACAGTAGGATCTGCACACTGCCACAGACAGTCCCGTACGGCAATCACCTTCTGCTGGAGCATCGATGCTTCCATATCATATACCCTTCGGTAGAAGTAGATAGACAGCGCGTGGTACATTGCATCGAGCATATTGTTCAAATGCTCATCAAGCTGGGCTTGGCTTGGTCGTTCGAGGTTATTGATCCGCCTCTCGATTGCCTTCGCTCGACTCGAAAAGTCTTTCAATGTCAGGGGGTTCGGCAGGTCATGGCTCTCTGCGATATCCTTTTCCCTCCCAAGTCGAATCACCAGTGATAGCAGCTGGACCCATGGCTCCGGGACGCCGAAGATCTCGGGGTAGAGCGTTGCTGAGAAGATACCGGGTCGTTCGAGATGTAAGTCATTCTCGCCGTCTTCTTGACTCTTCACTTCCATCATCTCTTGATCGAGATTCTCCCATCCGCGGAGCCGGAAGGAAAGGTCGTCTCGACTGTATTGAGCCAGTCCACTTGATTCAATGGAGCGGCGGAAATAATGGCGTTGTCTTGAGTTCATACCGCCGGTGAAGGTACTTTCATAGAAGAAACGCTCGAAGGCATAACAGTGATGGAGAAGACGGACCTTCCTGGATTTCTTTCGTTTTAGACCTCGTAACCTTATAAGTCTTTCTGTTTCCAAGAAGAAATATTCTGTTTGGTCGCGGTCGACAGAGAACATCGATACGTAGACCATGGTGAGAAGTGCGATCATCATGAATTTGTATTTGGCTACCTTTGGAACGTCGTATGCCGTCCTCAACATTAGTCTGGCATGTTTTAGCGCCTGCTGTCTGTATGCGTTTCCTTGGACTAGCCACATTTGAGACTGGGAGAGGCCGCCAAGGCTGAAGGCACTGATTGCCAGTGTACCGTAGAATGCTGTTAGGCTGGCGTTGTCGAGATCTTCTCCTAGCGTGAGGGCTGCTAGACAGGTCTTGGCATGGGGTATGAATAGGATGTGCCAGGGTGTTTTTGCGTGTCGGACAGGAGTCATTAGGCTGATCACTGTTGTTGTGTAGTGTTTTAGTAAGAGCATCACATCTTGAGGGACTGCTTTGCTGGTAGTCGCCAAAGAGAAAGAGGGGTTCGGTGGAGGTATTTGAGTTAGATCAGCACTCTGCAGGTACTGAGGGAATTGTTGCTCTTCCGTCATGGATGTCATAGGAAACTCTTGAAAGTTAGAGAGAGGTGCATCATTGAGAACTGCTTCAATGCGACAAAGATCCATCTCCATGTCTCCACTATCCGGGGATGTCGTGCTGGGTGCCTGTTCAGACGGGCCAAATATAGCCTCAATTATTCTTTGAGTACGGGGCGTCAATGGGGGATCCGAAGGAACCGTGAAATCGTCGTCGAATCTAACCACGTCTTCTGGAGGGCTACTGGTAGATGGATCCGATGATTCTTCTGGAACCATATCCGGAGAAGGAGCAGAGGGCAATTGACTCAATCTGAACGCCCCAAAAGGCCCACAATCCACCTGAAGGTCACGACAAGGCGGCGCCTTCTCACACAGATCATCAATACGAGTCAGTAGTTGTAGTGCAGACTCCGGTGGGACGCTTGAAACGAGCCATTGGCTCATCTGCTCTCGTTCCGCCTCTGTCAGCAAGGGCCGACGGAATCGTCTTTCGTCCGTCGAATTCTCAAAGTCGAAAAAGATCCCCTTCTCGTAGCCCGCACAAACGAACCCGAAATACCGACACATGGCGCATGTTGGGCGGCCTTCGTCGCATTTCACATGTCGGCTTCGACACTGCACAGCGCAATTAGCGAACAGAGCATGGCCAGTCCTCGGGAAGGCAATTGTTACCGTAGTGCAACCCCCGAATGACCGAGTGCGGGTGGGGTGGGATTGTGTGCTTTGCTCGTCCGTTAAGGTGGCCATTCTTAGGGTGGAAGGTGTTCAATCGAGGTCAACTTCCTAATGTTCAGTGAATGACTGGGTATATCATGTCGTGTCTTGCATGCGGGGGAGATGATAGGCCATGTGGAGAAGCTTGAAGATTAAGAAGGTTATTGCGCGTTAGGGCCAAAGTCTAGACCCACATGACCACCTTAGACTTTCCGAGATAGCAACACCAACCATGAACATCCTAGATAAGCTGAAACTGCTCTAAAAACAAAGGGAAACCTACGCCTGGGTTGATTTCCCAGCTGATAGTGTAACCCCACCATGCAGAATTCTCAGGGAGGGGTATGTGTAATAAATTACCATGGATAAGGCCGTAGATGAACCGAATAGTAGTTTACCTTTGAACATCCACTTTTCTACTAGGCACAGCTTTCGTCATTGTATTTTGCTTAAATTAATATGGCATCTTTCGAAAACAAGGTGGTAAGTAATAATGCTATCCACCGATTACGGCATGTCCAGTTGACGCCGCTCGCACCAGATCGCTATAACCGGCGCAGCCTCCGGGATGGGGCTTGCGACAGCAAAGCTGCTTGCATCTCGTGGAGCAATTATCTCACTCGCCGATATCAACGAAACTGCGGTCAAGGCGGCTACCGAGTCATTAAGCGGAAGCGATAAGCATATGTACACCGTGGTCGATGTACGTAGCAGCCAGTCAGTTGACTCATGGATCAAATCTACGGTCGAAAAGTTGGGCAAGCTTGATGGTGCAGTTAATATGGCTGGAGTCATCACACCTGCCAAGCCGATTACAGAAGAAACCGATGAGACTTGGGACTTCAACTTTGCTGTGAATACGCGAGGTGTCTTTTTCTGCTTGAGGGCCCAGTTGAAGGTAATGACAGCTGGTGGTAGCATTGTAAGCCTGTTTGGAGGATTTAAAATAGATAAAGGGCATTTGCTGATAATCAAACCATAGGTTTCTGCGGCTAGCGCATTTGGCCAGATGGGCTCGCCTGCGGTTGCTCCGTACTGTGCCAGTAAAGCAGCTGTGATCGGGTTGACGAGAACGGCAGCGAAGGAGAATCAGCATATAAGAGTTAATTGTGTTGCGCCAGGTGAGAACTACATCATCTCTGCCGTTGTTGCTGGCTGATAACGATTAATGCTAACTCGACCTCAAGGCTCTGTAAACACTCCCATGTCTCAGGGAGAGAACCCTGAGGATGTGAAACGCGGCCTGCAAGCAACGGTGCAAAAACGAAGGGCTGAGGCTAGTGAGATAGCTACTGTGATTGTGCATTTGTTGAGCGACGAGGCATCTTTTGTGACGGGCACCGTTTATAATGTTGATGGCGGTTGGCTCTGCTGATGTACTCGAGTTATTGTGTCAAATTATATATATAAATAAATTAGATTCAATTAGATTGAAAAAATTTAATCTAATTATAATCAAATTAATTCATGAAAGCTATACCCAATATAATATGGGGTCTAATACAGATTTTTTTATTTAAGAACCTATGGGTTACGTTAATTTATATTTTTATAGATTCAAAGTAGATATAGAATATTATATAAAAAGCCTATTCTAGAGCTGAGTTTGGGGCGGGTTCTAGATGAAAAACCTGAACCTGGCCTATCAACAACTCCTAGCAGTGGCCACTATCAGTCTTGATCTGCTAGATACCGTGATATGTGGCGTTTGCTCTTAACATTTGTTTTAGGCAGTTTAGAGCGAGGGAAAAAGAGCATCCGTGGATGACGGGGGGCACGGAAACGCACCATTGAATTTTGGTTCGACTTCGAGCAGTTTGCTTTTCTCGTACCAAAAGGGAGAGAAATTGAGGACAGACAACAGCAAGAACGCTAGACAGATCCAAGTCTAGATCAGAAGATCGAGTTTCGCCGCAGATTCTTTCTGCCAACAGCGCCCTGAATATGTGATATGAAGGATTGATTGTTTACTGAAGTAAAAGGAAAAAGCGGTGATCAGAAGAACACCTGTGCAAGGCCATTTAATAGGTATAAAAATAAGCTGCTACTTGCATATTTTTACATCCATACGCGGATGGTCTTTGCGCTATATAATCCTCTGAAATTAAAGAACAGGTACATACGACCATAGGGTGTGGAGAACAGGGCTTCCCGTCCGCTCAGCCGTACTTAAGCCACACGCCGGGAGGTTAGTAGTTGGGTGGGTGACCACCAGCGAATCCCTCCTGTTGTATGTCTTTGTCTTTTTTCTTCTTTCCAGGTCACGCTCACGGTATTTACAGCTCTGAGGGTATTAGAATTCAAAATATTACGTGAAGCGTCAGTATTTTTTCTGAACCCTGCCCGCCGTATTACCATTTAAGCAAAAAAGCCCATCGAAGGCCAGCCCATACTAGAACAGCGCCATCAGATTCCTACACTGCAGCAAAGATATTGTAAGTTATAAATCCACCAAACTTCCTAGTCGAGGAGCGCGTGAAGTCTAGCCAAGATCAAAAAAGGTGCAATATTGGAGTATCTGACTAAGTAGAGTGTGGTGTGACATCACATATCCTTCTGCTCACGATCCACATGGTCGAGACAGGTGTTTGAGAATATGGTTATAGAGGCATGCGCTGAGTATAGCATGGCCTTTAGTAACCTACGAAGTTAATTCCTTTGGCGCTGGAATGCTAACGCGGTTGATCAAAACCATTCGTGATATGTCATACTTTTTACTATATAGTTTCCCGCTGTTCAGCCCGATAGTTATATTCAACTTTCTCTACTTGTTAAGTAACTGGAGGCGCTTCTAGAGATAACCAGTTCTTTTACAACTCATCTGGTATTCAATATATGCAGTAGAACATTGGAATACCCTTTACTACCCTCATTATAAGTATGAGGTCGCAGCAACAAGTTTCGGAAAACATACTAGATACTAGATTAACTGATAGGAGTGTTAGAATAACGTAGTCTATCTTATACAGTTATTATAAATCTAGTACAATTTAACCATGTGCGGCTATAGGTCAAATTAAATATTAGAGGGAATCCCCCCACTAGTAATATATCCCTTTGTTTCTTGTATAAGAGTGGTTTTATATATATTTATACAGTTACAACATGTAGAAACATGATACATAATAGAGGATAGTCACCTTCTAGCTATATAAAAAGGCTCTCTCTATACGAAAGATCATAACCCACTACCCAGCATTTCGATACTTCGCGAAGTACTGCTCATTCCCGATGTAAGAATAGCTGTATCACATAAAAGACTAGATCATTGTAAAAAGCAACCCAAGAAACTCCGAGGCATTAAACATGCGCACTATAGAACTTGGTTATAGAGTATACGTTGTTGAGCTTGGGAAGTTATGCAATAACTCATGATCTGCTTGGATTGGTAGGTAGGCCGTTGGATTCAACGGGAGAAGCAGCCATTCTCTGATTGATATTTACCAAAATCGCACCCCGGTAAATCAAAGACCTGGGCTATCCACCTTGGGCACAGTATCAGGGAGGTGGTCACTACGTCGGGCTCTGCCTTCGATAGACCTCATTAGTAGACCTCTTACCCTTGTTGCTCTCACTTATACCCTCCTCGAGTAAGATCGGTGTTTCGAGGGAGGCGTAATTGCCATTCGGAAAGCGATGCCTCCGCTTATTGGGATCGCATGATGGCCGCTTGAACTTGATATAGAAAGTCCAGAAAGATGCCAGACAGGCAACGATAACCGCTGTCCTCACAATCAGATAATTCTTCTTTAGATATTTTATAAGAGCATCACTTACCGACGCAGATCTCAACCGCATTCCACAGGACAAGCCATGCTGGGTTTAGGATACCCTCTCCTGAGACACTGAGTAACAGCCGCACCAACGCAATGACGATAATGAACCCTGTCAAGAAGCTAACCCCGATTAATGCCAGTTTCTTTGACCAGTTTATCTGAACTTTCCACATAACATTGCCGGAAAGAACAATGACTGGGTGTGATTTAGTTAGCCAATGTCAGCCAAAGACATAATCTCAATGATCCAGGAGCAGGGAAACTCGTACTAGCTGCATCCGACACGATATCCATGCTCGTAGCTATCTTTAGACTAACGCGTTCGTACCAGATTGAATGTGCACTTGTACAAAGCTCTATTGACCACTATTAGTAACCGGGAAGGCGCAAAAGCGCCGGGAGATACTGACCGATACTATCCTCCAGCGAACTCAGCTCACACGCATAATCCAAGACACCCAGTGTCACCCCATAGCAGGCAATAACAAGGACCAAAACCACCCACCAAAGGATACGCTGCGCACGGTACCGATTTCCTAGCTTTCGAAAGAAAAAAATAAAGGACAATTTAATAAACCATAAACTGGTATAGGAAAGCAGATAGCTGGCCAGCTGGCCTCGAAGATACCGTTGCTCGATCCACCCGATATTAGCCGGTATACTCGAAAGATCGGTAGCACCTGGGCTAAGAAGAAGCACTTGGAACATCTGCTTATAGACAGTAGACCAGACAATCCCATTGCCTAGGGATAGCAGCCAACCCACTAGTATTAACATATCATTGATATGCCAATGGCGATCAATACAATATTGGAAAGCAAGCCGGACAAAGACAAAGGAAAAGGTCATGGTCTGACAGACCCAGATCACGGCCTATGAGTGGTGATTAGCTGGCATGCGCGCTCGTACACTAGTAGTGACATGATTGCAAGACATATATGTACATACCATAAATGTGACCTCGTCGATAGATTTACCCGACATTGCGTGAAACTGTCTGTGACAAAGTGAAAAACCGCAGCACACACATCTACCAAGGGGGAACGAGGGCCCGAATATACCTCCTCGGCAAAATTTTCAAAATCCGCCCATCTGTTTAATCCTGGTGCATCCAGCCAGGGGTACACGCAATAAGACGGGTGGTGTTAATGGGAAGGCAGTCCATGTACATGTACCTTGGTACTGTATGTAAGTCGTATGTATGGCAAGTCTCCAGTACGGGTGGTGTAATATGAATACATCGGAATACATAAAACAACATCTTACATCCCCAACTAAATGCAGGGATTCGATATACGCGAATGCTTCATGCGAGTCAGTGAGACAAAGAAGACCGTTGCTCTCTTTTGTTAGTCCTACTTAGTTCCCCCTTTCTCTGCCCGGCAAAAAGTTTGCTACATCCCACTCCTCCCTATTCATCGTCGTGCCAGAATGTCTCTCAATCCGATCTCCTCAATTGCCCTGCAAACCATCGTGGTGGTCACCACCATCGGATTTACCCCAGCTCAGTCGACTTTACGACCTGGAGCCCTAGTAATCGTCGGTCTCTGCACTGGCCAATGCCTCTCAACTGCGCTAACATATTTTGTTCGTACTCCATGGGCTAGCCTCGCAGGTGGCTACTCAGTGATGCTCTTGTTTCAATTTATCGATATCGCCCTGCTGACAAAATGGCAATTTCCATATTCTGGGTCCTTTCCGGTCGACTCGTCGCGTGCGGTATCACGAAGGACTTCCTGGGTAGACCGTCTGCGTTTTGGCATCTGGGCGGCCTTCAACGCGCGATGCATCGGGACCTCTGAGCAAGTGCGCAACATTCCGGCCTCACGCGATCAGGGTCGAGACGTTTTCCTTCGCCAAACAGCTAGACTTGTGCTCCTCAGTTACCTAGGTCTCGATATCCTTGGGTCGGCGGCGGATCCAGAGCTCGGATCACGCTTTCTAGTCGGGTCACGGGTGCCATTCCTTCGGCGTCTTCCTGAAATTACGGTGGAGGAGGTCGTAATTCGCATCTTTTCTACTATAGCGGCTGGGATAGGCCTTCTATGCAGCCAGGGGGGATTTTACCATTTGTTTGCGTTTGTCAGTGTGCTTTCCAAATCCAGTGATCCACGAGACTGGCCTCCCTTCTACGGTTCGCTATGGGATGCTTATAGCCTGCGACGGCTATGGAGGTAATCGATGTCACCTATTGCAAATTGGAATGTCGCAGATCTACTGACTCCATATTTAGTCGCGTCTGGCATCAGTCCAATACTCACAAATTCCGTGCAATTGCTAGATTTCTGACTCAGGATGTTCTTCGCCTGCCGCCAAGGACATTGTGGTCTCGATATACACAGGTCCTAATGGTCTTTACAACCTCGGCTTTTATGCACCTTCTAATTGATATATCGGCGGGGATATCCATCTCTAGCTCCGGGGCCATGCAATTCTTTTGCACTCAGGCATTCGGCGTTCTTGTAGAGGACCTGGTAATCAACTCTTATTGCGCTCTACGAGGGGTTGGCCGCAATCAACAGGCCTCGCTAGCAGAACGCGCCATTGGATTTGTCTGGGTGGGGAGTTTCTTGGCTTGGTCACTTCCTTCATATCTATACCCAATACTGTATCGGGCTAACATGGGTCTCGACGATTCCGTGGTTCCAGTGAGCATCATCAGACTGCTGCGGTCATGGATCAACATTTTTTCGCCGACCCTGCGAATGTAGTGGTAGGGGTTGTTTGATCCACTATTACTTTGGATAATTATATAGGTGCAGGGGTGTCCGAAACACATATAAGTTATTTGTGGATCTAGCTGCATATCTCATTTTGTTTGGCCAATAGAAAATTTGAAAAAACTGCAGCCGGGTTGTGCTTGGTAATAAAATGGCGTGTTTGCTCTCTAACCCGCGCATGCCAGGAAGATACTAGTGCTTGTGGCAGTATTACCTGTTTTGAAAATTACGGAGTAGGATCAAAAAGGTGGCCAGGATGATACCAAATCATTCATGCTGACTGCAGTCTCCTCTTCATGCACAATCGTGTTAAACCCCACCGGAGTGTTTCTGAATGTTACATAGAGCCTTTCGCCCGACGTCGTGCATGCTGACTGCCAGAGATATTTACGCTGGTTAGATAGGGGTGATACCGAATGAGACAGCTTGCCCCGGAAGTATCCAAGATCGGAATCAGGTAATTGCTTCTCTTTTGTTATTAGGCACTGGTACCTAATGTCTACTACAGGTTGATTGCGCTCGGTTTTGTCTGAGACTATTTGCAGTGTCCAAGTGGTCAACTCCACTCCCTAGGTCTATCGCCACACTGTCTGTCTCTTCTCTAGGATGTCGGTCCAAAAAACCAAATCACCCACTATACAACAACCTATAGGGCACGGAAGCACAACCGTTCAGACTGAGGATTTGAACGAGCCGGCCATCGAGTTGCCAGGAACATGGCAGTTGGCGATTATCACCGTATCTCTGTGCTGCGGAACCATCTTGGTTGCTCTTGACACTACAATTATCAGTGTCGCCGTGCCCAGCATCTCCACAACCTTTCAGACATTTGACGATGTTGGCTGGTATGGGTCTGCCTATCTTCTCACTGTGACCGCCTTTCAGCCAGCCTTTGGCAATATCTTCCAGCTGTTCAATGCGAAAACAACATATGTGGTAGCCGCTGTTCTGTTTGAAAGTAGGCTATGTAAACCCTGCTTTCTATATTCGAGTAGGCTAACTGAAGAAGTCGGATCAGTGATATGTGCTGCTAGTCCTACTTCCGCCGCATTTATCTGTGGTCGAGCGATCACAGGGGTTGGCGCAGCTGGATTATATCAAGGTGCGCTCAGTATTATTGGACTCACCGTTGAGTTGGATCAGCGACCCATGTACCTGGGAATTGTTCTCAGCGTATTTGGTATTGCTGCATGTCTGGGACCCCCGTTGGGCGGTATCCTCACACAACACGCGACCTGGCGCTGGTGCTTTTGGATGTAAGAGACCCTTCTGAGTGTCTTTGATATTTAATCGCAATGAGCTGAGAATATCTGTAATGAGTGACAGCAACCTACCAATCGGTGCCGTGTCTATCGTCCTAATCTTTTGCTTCCTGAAACTCCGCGTCCATTACTCGAAGCCGCCAGACCCAATTCTCGCCCGTGTCCGGTCTTTGGACATCATTGGTATTGTCTTGACCATTGCCTGGGTATGCTGCCTGATTTTAGCATTGCAATTCGGTAGTCGCGCCAGCTATTGGCGCTCATCCAGGGTAATTGGCCTTTTTGTCGGCTCCGGACTGCTCCTGATAGCGTTCTCCATCTCTCAGTGGCGCCAAGGAGAACGTAGCACCATTCCTCTACGCATTCTTCGTCAGCGCTCAGTGATCATGGGTGCCATATATTCTTTCTTCTTAGAGATCAGTATTTATGTGGTGGGCCTCGTTCTTTCCACCCGGAGGTCATGCTGGAAGGCTAACTATGGATGAAACACTCTAGACCCTCTACTATATCCCGTTTTACTTCCAGTCCGCGCAGTTGGTCTCCCCAACGGTCAGCGGTGTTCGAGGTATTCCACTTGGTATTTCGCAGATTGCCGCTGTTGTTCTCACAGGAGTAGCAGTATCACTAACAGGGCACTACGTGAGCTCAAGTCGCTTTTCCTCTCTGGCTTTGCTGACTAATGCTGATGCCAGGTTCCATTCATGATCTTGGGTCAAGTCATTTCCATCATAGGAACAGTCTTTTTGGCCAGACTCGAGGTCGACACATCCACCGCATTATGGGCGACATTCCTCGTTATTGCCGGAGTGGGGCATGGCATGGGCCTGCAGATGCCCTTCACAGCGGTCCAGGTTGTTCTCGGGTGAGACCCGAACTTGATCATTGTCTATGCCGGCTTTCTGACGTACCTTCCAGCGACAACGACATTCCAATAGGAAATGGTACGCACCATCCGATATACCTCCTTACATCGATATTTCAGTCAGAGTATCCTAACAAAAGTCTCCCAGCTATCACAGTTTTCTTTTCCCAGCTCGGCGCGTAAGTATTGCGCTTATTTACCCCCCACCAACTTATAGTAGAGTAACACCTAAAACCAGCGCCATTGCTATCGCCATAGGCGAGAGTATTTTCCACACCAGCATCGCCCACCAAATCCATGCATCCCATCTCCCCATCGCCGCAGCGACAGTCATCGCTGCCGGTCCAACTGGCCTACAATCCCTCACCACCGATGCGGCAATACTCCACGAGTTACAAGGCACCTATGCGTACGGAATTCGGATGGTTATGTACTTTGCGCTGGCAGCGACATGCACGGCTGTACCGTTTGCCTTCGGCATGGAGTGGCTAAATGTGAAAAAGGAGGTGGAAAAAAGGAAGATAGTGGAGGAGACCGTAGATGTAAGAGAAACTCAGGTGGAAAGGAAGGGGGAAGGGAAATTAGCCTGAGCATAGTGACTCCAAATAATAGGTAGTGGAATATGGTCACAAGGGTAAATCATTCTCCTCTCTACAGATGACACTGACTGTATGGTATCATACAATTCGCCATGCAAGTCTAATAATAGAGAGAGCAACATCAAGTTGGAACTTGCATAGTCACGCCGCTAAATTTTATATATGCAGACCGCAACCCCTGAATTAGCGCGTCAATATGCGGCTAATATGCGGCGCGAACCTAGTGCTTATGTTCCAGTTTTTCACTGCTTCCAGGTGTAATTGAGTTAACATGTATTCAACCTTTGCAAATGTCCGCAATTACCGCACCGAAAATAGAATTGCTCTGGTTTCCCACACTTGCAGGTCTAGATCGTTCTTTCCGCACCATAATTCGTACTTGTAGGGTTAATCACATGACCCTTCGGGTGTATATCCATGGAGGCATACAAGCATATATAGAGTACTACGCATGATTCACCAGTATGACGTGAGATTCGAGTACGGATATTCTCTGAACATGGTAGCAAGGTGCTTTGAAATCAAAGTAACTCAGACTATGCTTAGGATATGGAACCACAAAGAGAAACGACCGCCTTCTGTCTCATCGGCCCATATGTAACCCTGCCAGCTAGGGGCAAGCAGTGTGTTCTGTTTCCAGCCTGTATGTATGCACATGCACTTGTACATATTCACACACAGGAAAGGCGTCAGCCATGCAAACAACATGCAATGCAGGAGACGGCCCGGCTGTACTATGTGTACCCAAGGCACTCATTGCGGCCCGATCAGTTGTGTCGGCTCAACAGATTGTGTACATGAGATTGAATGTAGCCCTTGTGAAAGACGTTAGAGATTAGTGTGCTGAGTTGGGTATGGAGTGGGGGCTCGTGATATATAAGCTTGTGGTAGGTGGAAGCAGGAGTTGGGTGTTGGAGCCTGTCATCCTCTTCTTTACCCGGCGCAGATTGTTTCCAATTCTTTTTTAGAAAAGATTCAAGGGGTAAATCGGCGAAAAAAATGTTTGTTGATTTGATTGAAAGGTGCAATACATGGGGTGGGGTTTATACATTGGTCACCTTGTGGACTTTTTGGCGGCTAGTGAAGTTGCTAAGGATTTATACCAAGCGACCGGTGAGGACCAATCTCCGCCCTCGTCTTTTGTATGATTCATGACGTGGGGTTTCTTTTCTAGAAAAACCAAAACGCTGATATGTATTCGGAACGGCCAACAGCTGAATATTCATATCGGCGGTTCATCCGTTTTGTTTCCCGGAAAGTGGCTCACCAGCCTTCAATTTATGGTCAATGGAGCGGGAATAATCTCCGATATTTATCGAAGGGTACTCAGTAGCAGAGATTCTTGCTTCTGCCTTGCCACTAACGCTAACAAAACGACAGTTAGGAGGCGACAAATCCTTCGCTATTCCAGCCCTGGGTGAATATCAGGTGCTAGTCTCCTCCGAGAAACATATCCAGGAGCTGAGCCAAAGCTCGGAGGACGTCCTCTCGTTCCACGCCGCAATGAAGCAGGTGTGTGGGAGCGGGAGCTATCATTTATTGACATTAGCTTGAAGCTAACAGGATGCACAGAGAATAAACCACAAGTATACGTTACGTGGTTTTGAACATGACGATGTGGATCCGACCAATGATGTTCCTAAGCGGGTGTTGAAGGTGCTCCTTCGCATGAACTTGCCCGAAATGCAGGTGGACCTTCAACCGTTGATTAAGGATACCATTATCCAGGAGTTGACAGGGAAATACTCGGATGGTACGCTTATTCAGCTGTGATATCTAGTCAATTTTACTTATTATTTCAATGCCAGGCTGGAGTCGAGTGAGCGCATTCACCTTGGCGAAGCACATCGTTGCGCGTTTGAATAATCATGTCATTCTTGGATCAGCGCTTGGTGAGGGCAATATGATTACCGTTCTTTTCGGCTCTGTACTAATCGGTGATTAGCCAGTGACTCTGTGGTTGCAGCAGCTGTGAATCGGTACTTACAAGATGCTGTGGTGACTATGGAGCTATGCCGCCATCTACCGTCTATGTTGGTTCCGTACGTACTGCAGTGTAGGCTCTTCCTTCTTAATATTAATAGGACTATAGCCTAGTTGCACCGGCCATGATGGGCTGGAGCGGAGCCATGCATCGTATTGACCGCTCACTCACTGCAGAGATCAAGAAAAGAGTCGCTGAGAGCCATAACGCACCGGCAGATACGTCAAGACGGGTTTGTTGGGAGACACCCTTCATTGTGCCAAGGCTAACAGATTCAATCATAATAGCATGACTGTATCCAATGGGTTCTGCAGTCATCCAAGACTTCGGCGCAAAAAACAGTAGTTAGAATGACCCAGCAGATATTCGGTATTCTGTTCGCCTCGGCACATCAAATGTCGATGGTTAGCATAATCCAACTCCTTCACGCTCATCCAAGGCTGATTACTTAATGAAGGCTCTAGTATACGCTATGTTCGACTTATGTCTCCACCCCGAATATATCAAACCACTCCGTGAAGAAATAGAGCATGTGCGCAACACGACTAGTTTCGCAGGTCATTTCGATCATTTGCCTTTACTGGATAGCTTCCTGCGCGAGTCCGCCCGGCTCAATGCCCTGGATGCACGTGAGTTTGACCCAGATAACATCGCCCTCAGCCCCTCAAGACTTTCTTCCAAACTTATCGATGGCAGTGACTATCCAACGTATGGCTCTATCACCCTACACTTTCGCCGACGGCACACAGGTCCCAGCCGGGAATCTCGTTGCTGTTCCGCAGGCCGCAGTCATGCAGGACCCGCGCCACTATGCAGACCCAACGGAATTCAATCCGTACCGGTTCGTGGTAGTAGATGAGACGGATAGGTCAATGAGGGCTTTCCCAAGATATACAGACGTGCGCTGGGATTATCCATATTGGGGCTCGAGCAAACGGGCTTGGTAGGTTGAGAGTACCTGAAGCTCCCCCGTCATCTATTATTCTACTAATAGTAAAACAGCCCCGGTCGTTGGTACGTCTCGAGAACCCTAAAGCAAATCTTGGCTCACCTGATTATGGACTACGACATCAAGTTAGCGGACCCAAAAGCACCACGAAGCTTCATATGGACAACAGCAATAGTTCCGCGGCGCAGTACGGTGTTGATGTTAAGGCCGAGAAAGGATCTCAAGATTTGAGAGCCGTAAATATGTCATACAACCACAACTAGCCAGTAGCTTCACGTTGACTAGATACTAATGAACACATATATAGTTCACCCTACCCTCGAAATGACGACGCCTAAAACCACAACCAATCAACGTAAGCCCTCAATCCTGCCTCACAACCCTTATCCCCTCCACAAGCCCCCTAAGCTCCTCCCTCTCCTGCTCAGAACAACCATCCACCAACCCTCTCAAGCCTCTTTCAATCCCATCCCACAGCATATTCGTGATGCTACCCTTCCTCCTAGAATAAAGACTGATACCCATCGGTGTAAAAATCGACTTCTCAGCAAACACAACCATCCACTCATCCCCCTCTTCTCCTCCCCACCCGAGAATCTCCCACCGTGCACTCGCAATCCGTAACCACCCACTACCACGCCATTCCATCGTGATCGACCCCTCGTTTCTGCCTGAGAAGGGAGTAACCACACGATCGATCCCAGCTGTAGACCGAACTGGCCCCGAGTTCATAGCCTGGTAGGATGTTGTGTTCACGATGACAACGGTAGCGTTACTCCCGAGCGAGTTAATAGGAATAGGACCCGTGTTTCTGTCTGTGGAAAGATTGATCGTGACGTTGCGTTTGTCTGTCCAAAAGGGGCTTGAGGAGCGGGTTATGTACCAAGTTCCAAGAATGTTGGTAGTTGGCGGTGGCCCTGGTTTGGAATTGTTCGAGTTTGGGTGTCGTTGTTTGTGGTGGATGTATTTCCGAGGAGCGTGTAGGTTCATTATGTATTATGAGTTGAGATATATTGTGATGGTGAGAGGAGCCCATGGCGGGGCGAGTGAGGGGGGCTTCTTATATCAGCCATTATGGACCCCTGTCTAGCAAGGTGTTTAACAATGCTATAATGATAGGCTACGGCTATACCAGAACAAAGAATCAGCCGAGGATACGTGCGTTAATTATAGAAATAAAGTCACATGACCATAGAGTGATATAGCATTGGCCAGTGACTAACTAGCGGGAAAATGACTGCTATATTGTATAATGCTAGGGCTTATCGCCATTTTTAAGATAGACTGATATAAAATGGGGGAGAAAATCTGGACTGGGTCTAGTCTAGCTGGTGTGGCAAGTTGGCAGGCGTGTTTTCAGAGGATCAGTATCGATGTGCCAGGAGATTAGTGGCTGACGATAGTATCCTCTATAATTCTAGTGAATAGTCTGACGCCATCCTCCGGTGAATTCCTTGGAAAATGTCTCTAACCCATTACAAGAAGACTTTCACTGAGTCTGGAGTGAGAGCTGGCCCTAAGTTATCCTCACGATAAATGAGTACAATATTATGAAAGGCCTAGCGGAATAGTGTGCCGAATGACATCAACATCTTACATTTTGAATTACTCACTTTTCTTTTTCCTTTCCCCTCCAGCCTCTATCAATCACTCAACTTCTCTTCAGATTACTTCCTGTCACTCGTGGGGCTGTTCTCACGCGACCATCAGTACCTCTACCGGCAATATTACCTCTTTCGAACTTAGCTATGTCTTTGATCCGGAGAACTATCCGCGTCCTGTGTGGTCGCTTTTCGCGTCTCGATTGATCTAAGTATTTGGATAGTCAATGTATAGAGATGTATAGCATGCTCTCCGACCTGTATAAAGCGCTAGAGCGTCTAAAGGCCGAGTTTCTCGAATTGGAAACTTAAAATGTGTTGCCTATATATATCCTACTACTCGATCTGCAACGGACAGTAGAGCCGGCAATACCCTGTTTACTAGACCCGGGTGTCTACTCTATTTCTCTATCCGAAGAGTTCATTCGACAGCATCCGATAGATAGTTCGGATCTTAATACTTAAAAGTACCTAGATAGTATCACTGTACTTATTCGACTGGGATCTAGCAGAAGTAAGATTCAGTATAGGGTATTAAGCTTCTATTGTAAAGCTGGGGTCCTGTCCTATCAGCTAGTTATAGGAATATTAAGCCGATGGCTTAACTGCAATAAAGTATAGCTAATATGAAGTATAGTCACAAAGTAGTAATAGAATATGTAAGTATTAATATAATATCCTGTACTGTTATTTAGGAAAGACTAATTGATTTGGGACTAAGGACCTCTATCTTAATCTAGCTTTTTATTACTACTCTTGTGACTATTAAGATAATTATAACTGGAGGATTAACTTCTTTTATACTTGCTCAAGCGATCCTATCTTCTCTTGTAAAAGGTCCTTATGCAGCATAGTAATAGTAACTATCCTGAGCTGGTTATCAAGATAGAGATTATGGCTATAGTTACTATAATATACTCCTGACTGTATATAGAGACTCGTCTCGATTATCTTATTATTTCGCTTAGTTTCGATGTTACTTTTATTGGAGTCGCTGCTGACTCTTTTGATCTCTTCCGCTACGTAATACCTTTTGTCTTTATTAGATATTGTGTACGCACTCTGATCACTATTTATAATGGCCAGAATTTCAGGATCCTTATATCCGAATTTATAGAATACTAAGAAAGATCTTAAAATCTTTAGGACTTGGTTACTCATTACATCGGATATGATATCAACCGTTGGCGGACCACCGAGAAGTTGCCGACTTCAGATTATTAGGAAGCTTTGTCATAGAGAGAGGAGTGGAGCTGAAGATCTCAAGAACGTGACATGGTGATGATCCAGAATGCGAAATTATAGGTCCGGATAGGCTCTACATATATCCTTTCAACTGAGAAACAGGTACATACGACCATAGGGTGTGGAGAACAGGGCTTCCCGTCCGCTCAGCCGTACTTAAGCCACACGCCGGGAGGTTAGTAGTTGGGTGGGTGACCACCAGCGAATCCCTCCTGTTGTATGTTTTTTTTTTGATGATTACACAATTACTTATTGTAAGTGTATCTTTAATTTAGTGGCCGTGGTTGGATATTGTTGCTCGGCACTTCAGCCTGTCACACACTCGTCGTAAAGACTGGATCAAGATATAGAAAGGCCAGTGAGATTGAGGTAGAGCCCGAGATACGTGCTGCTATTGACGCATTCCCAGTAGCTCTAGGTCGAACGATTGGTAGACCCCCGAGTCGATCAATCAGAAACGGACCTACATTCTTTATGAGAACAAAGGCTCCTATTAGGCTAATACCTGCATTGGCAGGCCAATGGAAGCTGTTGTTGGTGGCCCGGGCCGAGCCCTGTTCGTATCCTGTACCCTATCCTGGCAATTGATCAGAGAGCCATGTAGGCACAAAAGTCCATGATTTCCATAGGGTTCTTTGAGATGCACAAAACAGGTGCGTATATTCTAGTAGGGGGAAAGGAAGTTGGGGGGCCTTCGCAGTGTGCCACAAGTGGACAGCAATCGACCAAATATTCGCCCGGTCTGCGAACGAGGAACAAAGCTTAACTGTTGGGTGGGGGGAGTCGCCGATTACTCAGTACATTGGCGTGCTGGTAGTACTCGGTGTAATCTTCCAGGCCCTGACAGTTCGAGCATTACGTCGAAGGCTGCAAAGGACAAGGCTTGTCAGAAATGTATCAGACGATAGGATAGACGAATGCATCCGTGCTGAATTCAATTCCTTAGTGTGTAGTGAATTAGAGCTCGTAGAGATGGCTTGGCATCCTATGCCCAGCCCTATATGATCTTTCACGCCCGGACCACTGCATGGCACGTTTGGAACGTGGTGTCCACAGCATACATTCTCAGCGCCAAATGATGGGGGAACTGCAATGGTGTGTGGGGTATATGACAAGGGCCCTGCCAGTGCAACGGCAAGTGGACAGGGATGGGCGTGCACCGCCGGCCGGATTTGCTGTAAGAAGCGATACTATCGCCTAATCATGTAACCCCGCCGCGCAGGGATGAATGTCCCCCTCCGCGCGTCCTGATGTGAGCCATGGTATATGAAGCGGTTCACTGAAATTATATCGCGACAATTGAAATTAGAGTCTCATCATAGGTCGCAAGATTTCCCATAAACTAACCAGGCCACGTGGGCGAAGGGCCGCCAGGCCGAGAAAGTCTCGATGGGCTATGATTAACTCACACTATACTATATATAAGGTGCCTGAATAGGAGATCTCAAACTGGTAAGATAGTGCGATTTCGCCCATAACCTGCTCCAGATCGCTGAGCCCCCATCTATATACGAGATCATGCAACCTGCTGCCTGATTCCCTTATAAGAACCCCTCCCCCCATTAATGATTTGCCCCGAGAGCCAGAGTCCTCCGTTGAAACCGCCATGACAGATTCAGCACAATCAACTACCACGGCAACAACAACAAATGACCCCAAGCTACGTACGGCATGTGATAACTGCCAGCTCTCAAAAGTACGATGTAGTCGAGGCCAGCCTTCGTGCTGGCAGTGCAGCCAGAGCGGTGTTAAGCCCACTGAGGAGGACGGGACGCCCGCCCAAGAACAGGGACAACAACGCTGCGACGCAGCGTGAAAAGGACGCTTCAACCCAATCATCGACTGCTAACTCATTGCAAAACCGATCTCCTCGCGATACCATCACCCAGAAAGCCTCACCCGATCGCACATTTCATCGGCACCGTCCACCGCAGGATGCTACCACCGCCAATGACGTGCCAACGGCCTGTTCACCAGCACGGCTGCAACAGCCCCTGACGGAAGTGGCCGCATGCTCAGCCGTGCCAGGTGGTGCAGTACCTGCCGTGCATTCCATGAACAACGCTGTATCTCAAGACCTAACCCAGAATCCTGCGCTATCCGTAGCAAATCTGGATATGGGCGTCAGTGCTAGTGATGTCTCCGCCTTAGATATGGACCTGGACCCGGATATGGGCATGTGGGAGATGCCGAGCATGCCAGACCTGGCAATGGATCACAGCCATGGAGATACCGGATCAACCGCTATGGCCGGCTCACAAACGGACGAGATAGGCCACCTGCCTCTGGGATCAGTGATCTCGCCCCCCACCATCACATTCGACACCCACGAACCGGGCGACTGCGCGCATCGAGCCCAAAACAAGCCACCAACGACTCTCATGACTCAGAGACTATGTGGTCAGATAAGTGCACAGTTGACCTTGGATCTAGCTAACACCACCAATATTTGTTTTACCTTAATCTATATGGAGAAAAGTGGAAAAGAGTATATTCAGCCATATTCACAGGGGAAGTTCGTCGGGTTATGGTCTGGGCAGCTATTTACAGGGTCAACAAATTACGCACTGCCCGGATCGATAGAACCATCCATTTTTCTATAGAAATACAAATCGATGATGTTTTGATCATTTTTATTTTTGATATGGCGGGTGGTGCGTAGCTCGCTTACCGAATACGTTAAAACACCAAGGGATTATGTATAAATTTTCTGAATTTCTTTTCATAGATATAATAGACAACTTCACTGCTAGCACAGGTCAATAATGCGTTTGGCCGGACTGTGCGTTATAACGACACAGCTTATTATCTTATGTCGCTAGCTATACTGATTTAACAGAATATGTTGACGACAAAAATGGGTCTCGCTTTCAGGCCTCAGCTTATCAGATATAGATAGTGATATATTTAACATCACCTAGGCTACGTAGGTTATGGTTGTACTCGCCTTATCGTCGCCCCTTTTCTAGGTTCTGACCCTCTTAAATTCGCCGATCTGGGTAATTATTAAGATAGGCTGTCCATGGTACATTTCAAGTCTGATACTTCCATGCTCTACGATAGGGACAGGAGTTCAGAAAGCATATCTCAAGAAATGATTTTCTTTCTAGCATATCATATTTAGTGGCAGGCAATGTAATTATTTGAACAAAAGATATCGTAGAAGAGCATGAGATATTTCTTGTCTTTTCTCTTCTTTCTAATACAGGTGTCACTGACACTTGTATGCAAAACCTCAAACGGAAAGGAATAGGCATCATAATCTTCAATCCATAGACCCGACTGTGCCGAGATCTTCTTCCACATCTGAGTCGACGTCTTTGCTCCACAAACCAGATCCCAGATCATCCACAATCACGTCCAGCTTCAGGCCCACTTTTTCGCATCCATGGCGCAACTCCTCCTCCTGCTCATCATAATACCCGGTGTGATTCTGGTCCCATAGACGTAGTTTTATCACTTCCAGAGCAGGGGTGTAAGTGCGCACATCTGGAAGAAAGCGATATAACAGGTCGATCGTATCATTCTCCTCCCAATCAAAGTCATACAAACTCCTCATGTCGTCTCGTAGAACTAGCTCCCGCAGCGACTTGGGCAACAACGGTCCGAGTTCCGTCGCATCTTCGACATACCAGCCCATAAGAACGCAGAGCGGCATCTCTGCTGATTGAAGATTTGGAAAGGTATTCAGAATATTAAGGAATGGTTCGCGGATATGATCATCGGCCTCATACCAATAGCGATCCCCCCGATTTGAGGGATAATACTCTACCCCTAAGGAAAGATGCTCCACAGTCTGGCTCACAGATACCAGGGCTTGCGCTAGCGTTGAGGGGTCGTTTAGCACCTGCTCGGTTCCATATCGATAAGCCATTCCAAGATGTAGATTCTTCAGGTGTACTGTCCGGGAAAGAAGAAAATTTACATCCCCCTCAGAAATAGTAGTGCGAGCGAGCACTAAGGTCTCTAGTTTATTCAGATCAAGATCTGGCTTGGTTTCCTGCAGCTTTGCAATATCTCGAAGCCATATACTTAGATGACGCAAAGACGGTAAGCAGAACCAAGCCATAAACTGGTCGGGGTTGTACGGAGGATAACTGTCGGGGTATTCGTTACTATACATATCCTCATTTTCGGCAATCGGCACATTCGCCCCATAATCCACAGTCTCGAGATACTGGAATGTTGAAAGGACCCCATTAGGGAAGAGAAGGGCCTGTTTAAGCATAACTCCCGTGAATCCATCCCACCATACTAACGAATAATCCAGACGAAGCGACCTTAAATTAGGGAGCTGAGAGAGAAAGATAGCAGCAAAACAGTAAATATTTCCGCCGTGGATGGGGAGATACCAGCTGTTGGGGTTGGGAAACTGAGCATTACGCACAATCTCTATTGACTGGTCAATCACATCTTGAAAAGACTTCGACTCGGCTTCCCAATCCATCTCTGGCTGAGTATCTCGCCATGGTTCAGGGTCGAGGGATAGTACGTTAACATGCTGAATATACGACGCGATCTCGGGGCTCTTAAAGATAAGTCGGAGCAATAGCAGAAGGCGTCGCAGAGGCCGAGTGGTCCAGTCCAGGGAGATCTCGTGATAAATGAATGGCTTAGAAGATGCGCCAAGATCTTTACATGTAGTGGACACCGCTAAGTTGTCATTGAGAGAGAGCTGGTCTAAAATATTTACCAGACAGTCTTTGGGAAGCTTGGAGAATGGCCTTAGTACAGTTGATTAGCGAGTGTAGGAGAACATGATGCAGAGACCGTACCCATCCTGTTGCGAAATCGACCTGTTTGCATCCATTTTGTAGGGTTGACGGCATGAGAGTTGCTTTTGGGCAGAAAGCCTGAAGAGGGGATTTGACGTAGCTTGCGGGTTATAAGGGCGGCTTAACGACGAAACGGGAGAGCCGATGACGGGGCAAAGTGGAGCTGCAGCTTCTCGGCGCAGAAAATGGCGCCGGACGTACAGGACACGGGACTGCATTTATGCATCAGAAAGGAATGGCTGATACTATCGTGCTCGTGTGCTCCTTTGATTGAAAACCGGCAACGATCTATCTACAGAGATTTACACTCTCCGCCAAGAGCCCTAAATTCAGCTAGTGTGTATTTTTTTTTTTAATTTTCTTTTTTATCTACGTACAACAAGTCCTATATTAGTTATGTTATCCGCCGCGGTTACCTCCACACCTAGTTTCTACATTCCCGTAATATATCTTTGCCTCTTGCACTCTATCTAATTGCATGACACCTCAGACTAGACCTCAGGGTTTCTGGTGGTCAGAAGGCTCGGGTGTCTTCTTTTTAGACTTCTTGAGCTTGGGGAATCTCACAGCGTGAACTTGAAACTTAGGGAATGCTGCGTCGTTCACGTCAAGCGGCTCCACCTCAGGTTTAATCACTTCAAAATCCATGCCGGCCTTCCCCGTGAATGCCCCACAGCCCCAACCCTCGCCGCATTTATCCTCCTCTTTGTTGCCGTCTTTGTGCTCACAAGGGGGTTTGATCTTTCCCTCCCCCTTGGTCTTTTCCCACGCAACAATCTTTGGCTTCGGTGTCAAGTGTCTCAGCTTATCCGTCTTCTTGTTATGGGTCATCCGATACGCAAGAGAGGCCATGATCTCTCCGCAGTTGGCATTGAACCTATGCTGGATTATGTTTTCGTTGGGGCCCCGTGGGAGAAGGCTCTCTCCACTTTGCTTAGTATTCATCAACCCCTGGCCGGTGATCGAAGCTTCCGTCGTGTTTGTTAATTCCCAATGCCTCTTGCCGTGCTGACCCACAGCTTTGATACTGCAGGCCTGCAAAGCATCCCTGACGTCTGGCGCATTCTCCGTCAGAACGTTGGTAAATTCTCCGTACGCCTCCGCCCCGGTATTTTGACCACTAGGGGGGACCGGACGCTCGCCTTCAAATGCTGTGTAGATGTATGTGCCCCAACCGCCCGTCATGCTGGACGCAAGGAACACCTCATTTCCAACCTGCAGGGCACTCATCACAGTTGGCATCTTCATGCGACTGGGGATCTTTGTGGATGTCATCTCTTCGAAGGCGGCTTGCGCTAGTCCTACGATATGCTCGGCCTCGATTGTTTCTTTGGGGTCTGTGAAGGTGATGCGCGAGCCAAAGACAAGAAATTTTGTATTTTTACCGTTTGGGTTGGGAATGGTGAGTTGTTGAACAGTGAGGGCTTCCTCCTTATCACCGTTGCTGTTTAAGGGTACATGGCAATTCCCCGCCGGAGTATTGTCGACAGACCAAAGAGGCTGTGCGTCAATGGCTTGTAGATCCCTTTCATCGTAGGGCTTAGGGTCGACATCCTTCACCACATGGATCTTTTCATAGAATCCTTCCAAAGCCGAGCCACAGCCGAACTTCAAGTCTTTTTGATCATAGCATGACTCCATGATATGTGCTTTGTCGTTTTGCCCAACCTCATTTGCACCCACGCCCCATACCACAAGCCTTCCATTCTCCTCCATATTTCGAACATCTTTCTTGTTCCTTTCATAATACGCAAGAAATACATTGATGTCCCCACACGACGCCTCGTACCGATGTTCGGCACCACCGAGAAGGTTTTGGCTGCAGAGGTTAAAAATACTAATCAGCTCCTTAGGTGGCCCCTTCTGAATTTGGCCTTTGCCACCACTTTTCTCCGTTCTGTCGTACAGCAATGGGGGCCCCATCGCCGACGACGACAAGAAAACTTCTTTGTGGACAGCAAGAGCCACCATGACTTGTGGTTGTAGCTCTGGCTTGATATTATCCTTCTTGGCTTCGCTCTGCATTGCATCGTATGCATTCTTCGCTAGCTGAACTAGCTGTTCATTCTCCAGTGGGCTCTTGAATGTAGCTCTCGCACTGTAGAGAACAATGTCTTCCTCTGTATTCTCAGATTTGACAACGGCATCTCGCCATACCTGTAGCGCTACGGCGTTGGAGAATCCCAGGAAGAGGGTAACAAGGAGAAGGGTCTTCAGCATCCACATGACGGAGGGCCCCTTAATTTGCCAAGAGGAAAGCAGATAACCCGGACAAAGAAATTCTAGAACAACACAGCTGATTAGGGGTATACAATGAATGATATAATTTGTGATAGAAAAAAGACACAGATAACCGGAACTGCAAGGGGAGAACTTCTATATTGTCTCCAACTGGTAGCAGTGATGATTTGATGTGGACTTCCCTGTTACCCTTCCACCAAAGGAGGGAACATGGCTTAGTTTTAAACCGTTTTTCAACATCACTGAGTCCTAAGACTGAAACTATCCGATTACTTCCAAGACTAGCCCCAGGAATCGGGGATTTGCATCCACCACATCTATCGTATGTGTGTGGCAGGGAAAATCTGACGAGAGCTCATCTTCGTCCTCCTCAACACCCCGAGGCACGAGCACATTGCCATTTCCTCTTATTCCGCCGTCTAGTATGAACTTGGGCGCCTGAAGCTAGATCCAATGTTACATATGTTCCTACCAGCGGGTATTGGTTGAGAGAGCTCACCCTAGCGTCAGAATTGTTGTATCACGAGGACTTGAGCGTGTTGAGTTACAACTTGGACAGAAGGTGGTAAACCTTCCAAGTGTTTCCGTGTGAAGTGATAGGTCCGACTGCGGCTCAATTCACTGCCCCTTCACTGGTGGTCCAAATTTAGTCCTGTGATAAAGTATATGATATTGGATAACATTCAGGGAATGCGCGAGATTTACTTGTAGCAGTTGATTGGAACAGCCATCATGTCATAGGGCTGATATCTCTAGGTTTACGTAAATAGAGCACAAGTGAGAATTATGATCTAGACGAGTTCGCTAATGAGCATGAGCTAAAACCCCCATCTGTAGTAAATAAACCAAATTTGAAGCCTTGGCAGTCTGTTGGATTCGTTTATGTAACAAATTGGGTGTGCAGCGTTAGCTTGGGGCCGGCTAAGACCATTGGCGCGCTCGTCTCGATTGAGATCCTCTCATGCATGACCGGCCTCTTGGCTTTACAGCCTCATTTAATCTCCGTGCACCAATTCACGTTCTTCCTACAGCAGAAAGTATGCCGGTAGAGTAAGCGACCCAGGCACAATAGAATAGACTTTATCGGAGTCTGCGTTGAGGCTGAGGCTGGGGATGAAACTAGAACAATGATTATATTTTTGATCTTGATTTTCTATACATACATATATAAATATTATTGTCTATCCAAATGTATATATAAGGACAAAATACCCCATAGAGCCGTTTTATAGACAAGCTACTCTGTGTATATTTCTTCGTTATCTTTTTCCATGATGGCCAGCCGCACCTGGTTAGCCTTATTTCTAGTAGCCCTCCATGCTTCTCCATCTCTTGGTCATGCTATTCCTCACATCCTGCGAGACAACAAGGCCGGCGGGTTAGATGATTTCTCGAGCATCAAAAAGTTTGCAGCCATTGGCGACTCGTACTCAGCTGGCATTGGAGCTGGTGAAGTACTCAAAGGAGGAGCCGAAGACGTTAGTTGCAGTCGTTACGACCAGTCGTACCCTAGTATTATGAACCGGGATGTCCGCATGGGTGGCTCTGCCGCTCACGAGTTTACATATCTGTCGTGCTCAGGGGATGAGTCGCCAGCAATCTGGGAGCAAGCCAAGAAGCTTGATAAGGATTACGACCTAATCACCATTTCTGCTGGTGGTGGGTTCCCTTCTCCTAATCACACAATGCATTCCCACTAATGGTATAACCTAGGGAATGACCTAGGCTTTTCCGATATCGTCCAAAACTGCATCTACCAGGTTTCAATTATCACAGAAACTCATTGCTCTGACTCATTGAATCACGCACAAGATGTACTACAGAGCCAGGAGTTTGAGAACAATATCCACAAGCTGCTCAAGGAAGCAGGAAAACACTTGTCATCGAGTGGATCCATTTACTACACCGGCTATGGAACATTTTTCAACAATGAAACCACAGCTTGCAATAATATTACCTGGTCAGTGGCAAATTTTGGCAAGCACCACCAATATCTTACGCAAGAGCTCCGAACCCAGATGAACGATCTAGTGCTTTCTCTTAATGCAAAGTTAGATAAACTGGTCACAGCAGCTGGATACACGTTCGTTGACTATGAAAATGATTCCCAGGGGCTGTTAGGCCGGTTCTGCGATGAGGGTGTGAGTGAATATCACGCACTGAATACTGAAACCGGACTCTGGAAACCACGCTGGTATTCCATGTGGTTCTCAAATCCATTTCCTCCACAGACTATATCTGACTCCGACGAGAACAAGGATCGGTCACTTCTCCCAGACATAATCGCGCAATGGTTTCATCCCAGGCCTATCACGAATTACTTCATTGCCAATAAGATCTTCAATAAGATGTCTCAGGCCAAGGCCAAGAAGCAAGGGACCAAATACCCGCCCTTTGTCAACAGACCAAAGGATTCGTGTGCAGCATCCAAGTCGAAACATAAGACCGGTGATCCCCTGGGTGTTAGTACAGAATCGCCCAAATGCTTTTCATATAAGGATAGCAACAGTCGAAGTGTGCTGCGCGATGATATTCTCAAGGGGGTAGAGCAATTTTGCAAGAATGTGCCGAGTTTCAATCTTCCCCCGGGGAAGGATGTATCGCAACAACTGCCGAGGTTAAACTCAGGGGGGACGTCGTCCAACTGGATACGCTATGAGGTTGATGAAGCGGAAACGGAGGAGGAAAATGTGATCCGCCCAATGTCTGAAGAGTCAGTTGTAGCTCCCATACATACATAACCTACCCTTAATCTCCTGTAACGTGGTCTACTAACCCTATCTCTAACAGAATCTGCAAGAAAAACTTCTTGAAGACCATTGACGGCTGTGGCAACAACGAGGCTGACACCGCTACATATGGTGGAAGTATTAAAGTGGGGCCTGTTAAATTGTCCTGGTACCCGTATGGCACAGGAAATATTAGAATGTGCCGAAGAGACCATATGGGAGCCAGTGACACTGCCCTACCGCGCAGCAAGTTTAAAGAAGCAATAGACTCATTCTGTGGGACTCCTTTCAGTGCAGCAGATGTTAGAACGCTGATGTATGCTGCAACGGGTACGACGACTCCAATCGGTGATCAATATATTCAAATGAAGGTTCAGCCTGCTGAGAACCAGTCCGGATGTACCCGCTTAAGCAGCCTTCTTCATACCCCCTTTGGAAACGAATGTAAAAAGAAGTTCATGTCTGCGGTAGATTCCTGTGAGTCTACCTTGCCCCAGGCTCCTTGAGCCTTCATCAACAGACGCTAATCCTGATAGGCGATACGGATAGTATGAATGAGAAGCATGGCGCTTGGGGCATCGAAGACGATGGTGATGGCTGCTGGGAGTGGATTATCCGGTCTCAGAAAGACTATGACTCGCCACATTGGGAGGATGACACTATTGACCCTACCGGATGGAATACATGGAAGGTGTAATATGGCGAGTCCGAACTAGGTCTATTTTCCTGAATGTAATGTATTGGCTATAGACTAGAAGCTCTTCCATAAGCTAATATCAAAGCCCTTTCGGTGGATCTATCATATTCAGTTCGCCTCATAACAGTTTATGTTTACTTGATCACGACTCAGCAGAATGGTCAGGTAAATCATCACCACGCAATATACATATCTACTTTTACGTGTAGAAATATGCATCATGGGTATATCTTATCAATGTTATAGGGCTGTCTTTGTATCCATACAACGCAGGAAATCACCATTGTGGACCGCCTATGTACATATCTGCTAATAATGTATGTTTAGGAATATTTCATAACCAATAGGAACTTCCCCCATGATGTTTTAAACTGAATACTTGAGGCACAATATAAATAACCCTATCAACCTTATCAAGTTCCTCCTATCCAACCGAATTGTGATGCTTCACACTTTTCTTGCCCTGATCTACCACCTCATCCATATCTACTTAGACGAAAACTGATATCGATCTAATCAATCGAAGGATTTCGCAAACATGTCAATGCAAAAATGATAGACGTGCACCAGGAAGATCGACATTGCTCTACCAGGAAATCATGTTCAACGACTCTATGATCAATCCACAAGACGCCGTATGTCAATACTGGCGCAGCTCTGGACGGGACACATCCCACTGAACGCATCTCTACACGAATCGGCAGGATTGACGACAGTACATGTGCCTTTCTCTTCACTCATTGGTGGGAAGAAAAACGTGAGAAAATAAAGCGACTGGTGAACCAACAGTATGGAAATCTACCATATGCGCTAGAAGGCAAATCAGACCAGGGAGTAGTAGACTCACGACAAGGATGGGCTCCAAACATGGACATGGTCAATTCCATAATTCGATTTGTTAAGAAAACTGGGAGACTTAACAAGGACGACTGAATCATCACCAGGGGAGAACGAAATCCACGTGTATATAACTGTATACGTCGGGGTAGAATAGCTCAGAAGGCTACATGCAGCTCACGGCCGCGCACAGCCTGAGGAATACAATAATAATAATAATCGATTTCGCCACCAGCAACCAGATACAAAATGAAGCCATACAGCCACATAGAAAAGGTATTATATGGAGATCTCTTAGTGTAGTGCAATATAGACTATAAGGAAGTTATCTAAAGGTATCAATGATCCGGAAAGCGCAGTGGGGGGCGATTTACTGTAGGAGGGGCCTCTTCAACAACTTCAGGTGCTACAGCAAGGATCTTATCCTCTTAGTGTTTTGTCTGCTCGGCTTCCTGCATCCTTAACTCTTTCTGATATGCCTTAATTATTTGATTATCTTTAATTAAGTGTTGCTTTACTTCTTGCTCCTGCTGCTTCCATTGCTTCTCTGCCTCTCTTTAAGCCTTTGCATCCTGTATTGCTTTCCAGGCCGAGTTCCAGTAATGCCCTGAGCCAAATATCGAAGCATCGGGTGCATAGAATAACGTCTGTCACCGCCAAACGCCCGCCACCAACCAACGCCCCACCCTGAAGCCAGGGAACGAGGCAACAAATGAAGACATGGGTCTTAATGATTCCGTGGTTCCAGTGAGCATCATAATTTCGAGGTTACCGACTGTATCGAGCAAGCGCATTGATAGAGACGGCTGGGCTGAATTGATAATAGCAAGCAAAAGACGTACTATTTTCGACTCGTATCCAGAAAATATTAAAGATATTTGTTATAGATCCTCTTCAACCGACATTGTGGAGCTCAGTAAAATGTGATATATTACGACTTCCTGTTTGGGCCAGGTCCTGAACTACGGAGTACAATGCACCAGCTTCTGATAATTGTCGATGTAACGTGGAGAAGCCGAGTGGGTTCAACTTTGCCCTAAATTAGGCTCCGTCAGGCGGGATAATCCCGGAATGTCCACCGGATCAAACGCTCCGACTTGTCATCCCAAACTCCAATCCCGGCAGGTGGAAATAAACGATCTATGCCATATCTATATGGCAAGTATGCCGGGAGGATATGTCACTGGTACGAGGTTTTATTTATGAGCAAATGATTAGTTAGTAAATCACGAACATTCTCTACAGAAACTTGTAGTAACTTTGGCTCTTAGATAAGCTCAACCAGGGCTCGCGGCCAAGAAAGGAAATCAAAGCTTGTTACTATCCCGAAGGTATAAATAGCTTGATACGGGTCGAACGGGGTTCTTAACGTTGAGTAGATCAAAATCACTTCTCTCTGCCCCAACTTTATATTGTAGATAGTTTAGGATTATACCGAGGTATGTGCTTCTGCTGCTTCTTGTTTTTGGCCCCCAGACTGGGTCCAAAACTTATGCAGGGTGACACACAAGGGTATATGATTCCATTAAAGTTCCCCGAGGTTGCTCCAACAAATGACAACGTACAGCAGCTGCGTCGGCGTTTCTTTGCCCTTTGCCCTGGATCGTTTGGCGATACCAATCCTCGTTGGGTGAGCCCAATCATACCTCGAGGCCTCCTGTCAATCATCATATCCTTTGGATGCCTAGCATAAGGTATACAATGACCGCACAATACAAGTACTGTAGCAGTAATGAGCTGACATTTAGTGGTACATTTACGTAACCTCGGCGGATTTCCGCTCTTTCCCCCCCCCGGGTTAGCGATGTGGAGCATCCCCACCATTAGCGTGGTAGGGTTCATAGATATTTGGAGGTCATAATCAGAGACCCCCCAGGCCCTGGCTAATGCACTAAATATCTCTTGTGTGGTTTGCACCATTGGCATAGTCACGCAACGTGATGAAGACTCCAGCATTAGAGAGTGAGAAGTTACTCATTAGCAAAGATGATTGGTCTGATAGTGAACCAGCGTCGCCTATAAGTTTACCGTCGATGCTGGAAGATGGTTCTTCTATAAAAAGCGACAACACCTCTCTTCTCTCAATTATCGGTCATTACCTGCTGAACATCTTCGTTTGGACACCAGCGAGGTAGCGAGCCATCCTGTCCTCTTTTTTAATCTAGTTACTGGCTTCGCGCTGAACATAACTTCAGGTTCCTTATCAATTACTTTCCTCCGCTCGAACGTGTCTTACCAGCTCCTCCTGCTGTCTCTCAGGAGCACCAACTGCAGATGAAGTTCCTTTCGTCCCTTTTACTGCTTCTGGCCGGTGCAGACGCAATCAATGCCTATCCCACAGCCGTGGAGGAGTTCACGCGTGAGCTGGAAGTAGCTAGTCCCAACCCATCCGGGCTTGCTCTGCGAGCCCTCCAACAAAGAGCACCTAACTGCAGCCGTGTAGATGCTTTCATCTCTAGAATCTCATCGGTTAAAGCCCAGTACGTGTAAATAACAGCCCGCCGACACACATCATTTACCTCAGACTATTAACTTCAATAGGGTTGCCTTCGTTACCTTCGGCCCCGAAGCCGCCAAATACATTTGCCGCGCCATAACACATGGTGATCCCACGTGCGATGACTGGGCTCAGGGAATCAGATACGCACTTACACTTATCTTCGCAATCTTCGGCAAAGATGGTGCAGAGCCAGCAGTTCGTCCTGGCGACCCAGTTCGCAGAATAAATACAAGAAGCTACATGGATATCGCTACAAATGCTCTGAAGGAAAGCAGCTTACAATTCGCAAGTATCGAGGCGGATGAAAATCTGCCCAGCGTCGAGAAGCGGCCCTCGGATGAGCCACATCTAGTTGAGAGATTCCTTATCCGCGGCTTGTATCATGCTGACCTAGGAAACGATACGACCGATATATGGGTCACCCATTGGAGTAATGGCGATAACACCCTGCAGATTGCCCCAGAGAATGGTCAGCAGGATGGCAAATCTACTCTAACTAGGCGTTGGGATAAGCCTGGCTTCAAAATTGCTTATACTACGAGAAAGACTTCTCCACTGAATGAGCAGGACGCCTTGAAGATGGCTAGACATATTAGTCTGAAATGGCAGGGAATGACCCTTGGCAATGATATCTCGGACTTCATAGGGTTTGTGGAGACAGGGCACACGGCAAACTTCTATTTCCGCATTATTCCTGAGCACAAGGGGTACGGGTTGAACTACGAGAGTGTGGATATTTGTGGCGGTATGGCAGGGATGTTATAAGATGTATATTGTGAGAGCCAAGAAGCACTCCAACACCTCCCCAGACATAGAACAAGATAGCGATAAGCTGGACTATCTACGCTGGGAAGTACCCACACTCTATTACTATTAAGAGAACACGCTTCATCAAATATAACTTTATCATCCAAAATACATGTTGACCGCGGCTTCCTGTTTAGGCCTAACGCCTATGCGCGCCTTTGTCTGATAATTGCGTAACTAGAACCAGCAAGGTAGGTATATTTAGGAATATATGATAAGAGAGCCTTTGTATTCACATATCAGTCTAGGGAAACCTAACTAAATAGGGAAAACCTAAACCAAGGCAGCTGAACAATTCTATCACGTTTAAAGCCCTATTATTAAATAATATATTGCAGAGGAATATACATGTAACTGGGTAAACTAGCAAAATAATATACCAGTGAATAATATTTGTAGTGAGATTCTCAATCCTTACATTGATCAAGATTTGCTGATACAGCAGTATCCTAGATGTCACCGTTGATGAAGTATTTACTAGGTTTAGTTAGTATAGAGAATATTCAAATCATCCGTCAAGCCAAGAGCGGGTAAAGCACATACACACTGTCCACAGTCCATATGTCAGCCTTTATATTATCAAGTCATTTCTCAAGCAAAACGTGAAGTACTTAATCGCTGTTTTTCTACTTGGTCTTCATCTCGGCTATTGAGTTGTGTAGGTCCTGCAACCGTAAGAGCAGGAAAGACCGCCATAACAATAGTAAACAACTTCATATTCTTGAGACGGGTGTTTGACAGTATTATTTTCCTTCCACAAATGCAGGTTTGGGCCAGTTCTATAGGCTACAACTCTATATACAGCAGAGGGTGACATAAACCACTACGGCTCCTTTGTAAGATATGCTCTGTCATTGCCTCCCTGCAAGCAATATCGCGAATCCGATTCTTGCAATACATGATTAGAGAATACTGAGACAAGATATATAATATTGTATATATATCTCCTACACACCCAGTACAAAGATTCTATCCGAAGACTTTTGTTTCTTGAGGTTTTTCTTACCGATAGTATAATGCTTGGACATGCAATACCTACTAGTTCTATTTCTACAGACAGTAGAGAATCAGACTTTAGCCTCTCTCGAATAATCTCCAGGCGATTTTTTATCAATGATATTCTATTAGATTAATATACAGCGAGCAGACTGTTAGTACAATTAGATTACAAATTCAGCAAACAAAAAAAAGTTATATACTTCGAATACTCTATAGAAAAAGTACTACTTTTCAGTCCAGAGTTTAAAATATTGTCTTTATCAGAAAGTACATCTAATTTTTTTAAAAACAACAAATATAGTTTATTTCAAAGATATACTCTTTGGGAAGAAATATTATCTGGTATTTAGTAGGAGATATAATTTCTACGCAATGGAGGAGCCACGTCGCAACTATATTTCCCGGAAAAGGAAATGGATACAAGACTCCGGAATAGACGAGGGACAAAAGATAAAGAAAGTATTGTTGGACCAGAATAGAAAAGATGTCGTCTTCTCAGGTACTCCGCAAGAATCTTCCACCATGTTGTCCACCGCCAAAATTAATTGTTAGCAGCCCCCCTGGATCGGCCTTGCAGGGTCGGGGTATCATAATTCGGCGACCGCTTTATGACAAATACATAGTCAATGAACTGCATACATTGTACTTGTAGGATAAACCTGTCAGGGCCTGAAGTCGAACTTTGCTCGAAGCACCAAAACGGCTTTATTCAGTGTTGATAAGATTCCATAACACTGAAATCCCCCCAATTCCTGTATGACCGAACTCTTTCTCTCTTCCTTTCTTCTCTACGTTGATGTTCCGCTAGGTAGACACATGAGAAATATACAATACTGTTTCCGATGTGTATAGAATTATTACAAAAGTAGATATATTTAATACTGCTGTACCCAAATACACTGGTCTACCAATCACAGGGTGTTACAGAGAAAGCCAATATCAAAAGGCATAGTGACAAAGTTGGTAAAGTAATATATAATAGGTCAGAAGCCCCAACTAGGTAAATTTTGAAGAGGATATTCCAAAGACCCCTTAAATACTAGTCTATAGTTGGGTAGGTTGTAATAGTTGTAACGTGTAAAATCCTTTTCTTCAGCAGATTTATAAAGCACGGAAGGTCTGCAATTTTTGACAGAGAAGTAGTCCATGGCCTGTAACGGAAAACTCCGCAATATTTCCGAGACATATTACCTTATTGCCTACCCTAGTTGGTTGTTAAAACGAATAAAATGCAACAAAAGAATAGTCTGACAAAGAAATCGTTGACATTAATCATAGCTCTGGGCGCACATAAAAAGGCTATTGCTGATCTAGCTTTTCCGTGTCGTGCTCGTGGACACCCGTCCTAAATGTAGAGCTAAATGCCGCGCACTCTATACATGCTTAGTCTAGGTTGGTATCATGATGCCAAGTCGACATATAAAAACGTCGTCGTTAGATGATGCCCCTATTAGAATGCGGAAAGCAATCCGTCCAGGATATGTAGTGATAAGCGTTCACTTGTAGACAAAGTTTAAGAAATCTATAAGATGATGGTAAAGGAGGGAATTTTCAGGGTAATGAATTTGACGACAAATTTGTCAATAGTGCAGACGGTAGCAGTGATCCCAAAGGATCCAGGCGAATACGTATGCCAAAAGAGTATGGGCCGTTCGGTCCGCTTCGTGGCGAAACAGTCCGACTAATAGTGGAGAATGGGCTTGAATATCCTATATTAGCTGAGTATGCTCTTTCCTGGACCGAAGACCAGGGCCCCTTTGGGCATGTGATGCTACAGACACATCCGCATATCCACGCAAAATGCTTTACTCATTTACTGGAGTCTTTTGAAGAAAACTTGAAGGATAAGTTTTCTGACTTCATGGCGGGCCGTGGCATTGGCCCAATGACGAATCGGGGCATAATGAAAATCAAACGAGTCGTCAAATACCCGGACTTGGTAAGTAACTTCCAATATAGGTAGCACAGAGACCCATATGTTGATAATCGCGTAGCTTATCACAGAGGCTTGTATCATGGAGATCCAAGCAAGGAAGGTCTTGGTTACGTACACTACTTGGTCCGTGGTACTGATAACACGCAGTCCTATCCTTGCAGCAATTCATGCAGGGTACTGCCTTGGTACACTACACACGGCTGAGCATTAATAAAGATTATTTCTTGGAAGGCTTGATATTAACAGTCACCTTGCTCTTTCTTCTTTGACCTGCAGAATAAGCCCCTGGTGAATTTTCCCGCTGTCAACGTGCGGAGCTCGTTTTGAACCTAAACTGAGCAGATGAACCTACCCGTGTCCATTTCGGAATTCCCGACATCTTTGTGAATGGGAATATTCTGAATAGAGTGTGGACAATCTTCTAGTGAGTAATCAAATTTCCTGTTCAGTCCCTGGTGAAGACCTAGCCAGCAAGGATTGGAAAATCATGTTCGTAGAAATAAAACTCGGAAGGGTGTGTAATACAACGACATGTACTTTAAAGTGTAGTTTCCCTGGGCTTTTCCTTCTCTCCAAGACTGAAAAGCCAAAGCAAGCCACGTGATTGATCCAAGCAGAGGTATCATCAGACCTCGCCAAAGCCCGCCCAAACCCATGGGTGGGTTTGAATTTCCATAACCTAACCCAAAACCCATATAGGTTGTCAAGTAACCCACTAGCGTTAAAAGTTGGAGATGACCCTGCCGTTACCGCACCCTTCTTCCGGCTTGCGCCATACGACTTTTGTGGAGTAACGGGATCTGATCTAGACCAGACCATTTATTCGGCTTTCGGCTTTCCCCTTGTTTCGGTTGTCGAACCAACACTATCGGGTCAATAAACTTCCCGAGAAGCCACGACGTTAGCGTCAACCCATCGATTGAACTGGCCTGAAACGTTGGATTACGGGGACACGAGCGAGGAAAATGACAGAGATCGTCTACAGGCGAACACAGCGGTGAAAAAGTTACGTGTGCACTCTTTCCGCGATAATTCTTGAAAGGGTTCGCCCCATTGTAGTACACGACAGCCGATGTAAGCTCCGCCTTCTAGAACTTGTTTTTCAGGGCCATCGTAGAGGGCTCTGACAATGTACATTCCATTCACCAGGGAATTCGGTCCTTTCATTGAGTACAATAAGGCGACAGAATTAAGTTTGGAGCTTCAGTCCGCTGCGAGAAAGGAAAATGTGTTAATGCTTATATATCTAATTTTTTCTTCCCTTGCGGAGCTTGATATCTGAAAGTGGCAATGATGAGAGCAGATACTAATGATACGTGTGGAATTCCTCTAGGTATGACTCCGTTGGGCCCTTGATCATGATTGACGATCCCTCTTGTATAGTCGGTCCAATCCAAACAAAGAAGGCAGCACCCAGTCCTGACCGTACTAATTAGCCAAGAAGATCTTTTCACTACTAGATCGTTGCGAAGTGAGTTTTCGGTTTCTCTTACCCAAATGCTCCTCGGGAAAAATGAGTCCAGAAACCAAATGATCCACGATTTGTTTCCTTGCCAAAGCCAACGAGGAGGTTTCGCTTGTAAAGCCTGATTGACAACACAGCGAGCATAATCTTCATTGCGCATAGCCCCTTCTGAACGCCGTTCCACCGATTAGCATAACGGATGACGGTCATGAAATAGTAGATAATACCTTGTGAATGTGTAACTCGACGTTCAAATGCATCAGAGATGGGTAGATAGATGCTGTTCTCATTGAGAGTCCGTTTAGTCCGAGTTATTCTGCTTTTGATACCTCCCGTAACAACGATCATCACTTTGACGCCAAAGGGGGCTAACTCAAGTCGCAAAGTGTTGCTGTAAGCATGGAGTGCAGCCTTTGATGCGTTGTAAATACCGCTAAAAACATAGGGAATAACAGCAGCCACTGAACCAATGTTTATGATAGTCCCCTTGGCTAGAATGAGGAGAGGGGTGAATTCTCTAACCATCCGCATCACAGAGAACACATTCGTCTCAAACGTGGATTGTATATCGTCATCTGCAACATCGACAGATGGAACCGTGCAGTCTACAGATCTTAGTCTGGGCTTTCCCGTGGGTCATGAACGAAAGTTGGTCCGCATTGGGCTCCTTTTGTGAAGACAGCGTTACATACTCTTCCCTCTGTAGCGTGCGGGCATATTAGATCGGAGGAATCCAGCGCCACAGGGGGTGGGAATTGTCATCGGATATCACATACGCATTGTTTACCAGAAAATCCAATCCATGTTCAGTAAACTCCTCGATTCGTTGTCGCACCCTCTGGACGTCTTCCGGCAAAGTAACATCTAGGCTGAAGGTTTTGATTCCTCGTATCGCCAAGTCTTCCATAGAGCTTAGCTCACGAGCCGTGGCAAAAACGAGCAGCCCTTCCACGAGTATTCATTGGTCAGATTCCTTGGAAGTCCCGAGAATTATAAATGAAAGGGGTCACGTACCCGCATCATGAAATGAGCTCGCAAGAGAATGTCCAATACCACCCTTGGAGCAACCTGTGATCAAAACTGTACGTGGGTGGTTTGCCATTCCAAAATAGACGCGGTCTTACGCTCACTAAAGATAAAAATGATTGGGCGTTGAGAGAAAAAGCCTGCCCAGAGACGGACCTCCAGTATTAAAAAAATGAGTATTCGAGGATTCAACCGCCGTCACTGACATCACAACGTGCGGCGTAGTGTAGTTACCGAGGCTCGAGGCGGCCGAGGTGACTTTTAAATACTTTTGTGACTTTTCTTATAGCAGATGACCCGCAGCTTAGTTTCGCTCTTCCGAACCCTTGTAAAGCTGGTGACGTTTTGTGGCACAGAATACGCATGTGACTGCTCGGGGGAATACTAGCATACAGAGCGTCTACACCAAGGGCTGGTAGCGGTTGATGCTTCCAAATTGAATAAAATTTCTTAACAATGCAACAGACAATGAACTCATTCTGCTCGACATCCTACCAGCTTTGCAAGCACCTGAAGTCTCCCAAATTTAAGTCTAGAGATATGTTAAACAATGTTAAAGTGCCCTAAGACTTCATCTTTACGCCCTTTGACCTCCTTTTTCTGAGAGAACAGACAGAGCACGGAGCAAAGGCATGCCTTTGTTTTCGTCAGCCGATCTTCTGGCCAATTGCTGAAGCTACATCTCCCAGAAGCTTGGGAGTCCTGATTTCGCACCAGACCACATCTAACTACATGTAGTACCCCTACCACTCCTTGATCACAAAGATGTGCATGTGATGATTCCCCGGGTACTTTCGACGAGGTGGTTCTGAGACCTTCGGATTTCGGGTTCAGTATATCGGGACTCGGATCTCATAGGATGGGCTCATGCTACCAGCGTCGAGAGTGAGTGCCTAAGGCTTTCGTAGGGCCAAATTGTCCCAAGTGTTGACCGAGTTTGATATACTCTACCCGTCCAGATCGAGAAAGCCATGATCGAACTCTTTCCCCGATGGTCTCCATTGGCCTACAGCTGTCCTGAGTTGCAGTGCTCCACTTCTCAGCAGTCAATATATAAATACTGGGAGTGCGTTGAGAAGATATAATTAACCGTATTGTCCTTATATGCAAGTCTCCTGACTCTATCGAATAGCCTTTAACCAATAATAGGGAAAACCACTTCAACCCTGTACTCTACCGCTCTAGGTTCTACCGTGAGCAATACGTTTTCACGGCTCTAGATCTCGACAAAACTCCTTGTCATTACCCTCCACTAGGTAAGAGCTTGGTTCTGTATCAAGTGAGCTACTTCTCGCAGTGGGAGATTTGAGATGAACACAGCAATAAGGGTAGTCAGACGATTAGAACTGAACTTATACAAATCACTGGTTGAATTACGGACAGACTATTCAGGAAGGACTTGACTGCACTTGTCCGAGGGGGCCATTGATCTATGATCACATCCCGAATCAATAATGCCTTAGTTCTCTTGGTGAATGGAGAGCAGTAAGTTTCTAAGATATCTAGATTTTGTAGAGTATCCAGAAATCCTTCAGCAAACTGGCTGAACGCGCCATTGTCAATCTTGCCTCTTACCCCATAGAGCGCCGCGCTCTTGCCGCGCGATTGTATAGTCTGCTCTCCCTTGTTCTTCCGCTCCTCGACTCTCACTAGTATTTCTCTGGTAACTTCAATTATAACGGAAATAAGCTTACCAACACCTTCTGCTGTAGATATTGTAAAAATACAATAGATAGCCAGTAGAGGTTGCAAAGTATTTAGATATCAATCCCGAGTATCTATAGCATCAGCGATATTGTAGATACCGATTTTATTATCTATACCTAAGAATACAGAAGGCACTCGATATGCTGTATCCCTTAGCAGAGATCTGCCAGGTAAGAATGATGGCTTTTCCTTAGCGTTGTATTATTACTACAGGACTAAAATAAGACAGGTATTCCTGGTCATGGGTGGATGATTGTGCCTTTCTGACAACAGCTATTGTATCGGTCGAGTTGGGGCCAAATATCAGGAGATACTGAAATGTGTGAAGAAGCAGGGAATCCGGAAGCTCTGTTTGTTGGAGATTGCCCCTGAAGGGACGGGTGGGATTGTGGACTCGAGATTTTCGCGGACGATACAGAAGAGTTGTTCTCTGCAGAGGTGGAGGAATTGGCATACTCGCGAGATGAACATTGTCAGGGGCTTTTGTCCCGGACTAAGACTTGTCTGAAGCTGTCCAAGCTAAGCACATGTATGCCTGATACAAGCCAAAAACTATAAGTCAATAGTGCCGGTTCTGCCTTGTATTGTCTCGGAACTCGGTCATCCGTGGTAGCTATCGACGACCTCCTAAGTTTTACCGAGGATCTTCGTGAAGTTCTAAAAAAGTTTAAGAATCGTATGTTTACCTTATTCCAACTACCTACCGGGATACTCGTGTCGTAGAAAATGGACCACTTGAATGAAGAAGCACTCTGCCGAGATGCGCTGCGGGTGGAAGCTGCGGTTTTAGAGCTCGACAAGGTGGGACTAAATATCAAAACCGAGCAGAGTATTAGCAACAGCCCCAGTCTAGCCTCTCTACGAATTTTCCAATCAGCTAACTATGTTATAGACGCGCTTACTCGTCGAAAGATATGCAGAGTTCGATATTTGCACGTGCTTTGGGTACATGCTAGCCCAGAGGAGCTTACGATTCATTATGTGAGAGAGCGGCAAAAAGTACTGCAACCCACGGCGAAGGTGTTCTCTCTACAAAATTCGGCGACCTCTTCAACTCGGTTAGATGCCTGGGTCCAATTGCTTCTGCACCGCGCCTATGGTGAATCGAAATCACGAAAGAAATTGAAGATATTTTTGAATCCATCTTCTGGCAAAGGTACCGCCGTCAAATTTTTCCGTAAATACGCGGAACCCTTATTTGTCGCGGCACAATGCCAGGTGGACATACGAGAGACTTCTTACTCCGGCCAGGCTGGCGAGCTGGTGAGAGCACACTTGGAAATTGATTCATGGGATGCTATAGTCTGCTGCTCCGGAGATGGTCTACCACACGAAGTTATCAATGGTCTTGCACTGAGGAATGATGCTGGCCACATTTTGAGGAAAATTCCTATTGTTCAGCTTCCTGGAGGTTCTGGAAATGCATTGTGTGTCAACATGTTCGGGACTACCAGCATTTCCCTTGCCGCACTCTACACCATCAAGGGTGTTACGCATCCCATGGATCTGATGTCCATTACGCAAGGGAATAAGAGACACATATCTTTCCTGTCACAGAATCTGGGCTTACTAGCTGAATGTGACCTTGATACCGAGGGAATGCGGTTCTTGGGTGGCAAGAGGTTTGCAGTCGGCTTACTGCAACGTCTGCTCAAGCCTCCTGTATACGGGTGTAAGCTGGCGACTTACAGTGCTTCTAATCAATGCTCAAGAGATTCTATGGGTGACCAATCCTGCGATCAAACGAAAGAGATGTGTCAGCATGGGTTGCCTGATTTACAATTTGGGACCGTCAATGACCCTGTTCCTGACGGCTGGAAGCTCGAGCATCTTGAAACACTAGGAGTGTTCTTCGCTGGTAAATTTCCTTTTGTGGATGCTACATCCAAGGTGTTCCCTAGCGCAAGACTTGACGGATTGCTAGATATCTTAACGGTCGATGCTGGGATAGGGGCTAGAAAGCTTTTGCAATTATTCAGCAAAGCGGAGCGCGGCACACATCTTACAATGCCCGAGGCCCAGTATCGGAAAGTGCTAGCCTACCGAGTCGTTCCCTCCGGGACTCATGGCGCTTTTAGTGTGGATGGAGAGAGATTTCCAATCAAACCATTTCAAGTGGAAGTCCATCCGCAAATGGGCATGACATTGACCACTCCACCCATAGTAGGGTGACACGATGCCAATATTTAGTGAAGACCAACCAGGCACGGGAGGGGTTCCTTCTTTGGACTTTTTAGTTAGCCGTATATTTATTTTTGTATCTAATTCCATCGTGCTCCGTTGATTTTGCTTTTAGGCTCGGAGTCTCACCGAGATAGCTGCCAGCGTTGTACCAATTGAACGAGATCCGGGGAAGGTCGCATCACGGCTGGAGACCAGGGATGTGTGAGTACGATAAGCACGAAGCAGTACCATTTCGTAGGTGTAATGTATAAAGCACGTCGAAATGATTCAAATATACAACGGGAGTCGGATTTCGAAAGTGCGGGGTTAAAAGGGTCTGAGCCAACCCTGATAGGAGAGTGGATCTTCGTTTACTCGTTCGCTGATAAATGTTAAATGAGGGAATATATATCGCAATTGACCGGACTGGGTCCAGAGGTTTCATTCAACTTTCAAAAGCTATTGCTTAAGTGTCTGACATCTCATCACCGTCCACTTTGTCTGTCATTAAGACCTCTTATATCGAAACATAGAGTCTATCCTGGTTACCTTGACAGCCTGATATCATGCTTGATGATCTGAGCAGCAAGAGTATCAGGGCTCAGTGTGGCAAATCAGTAACTCAGCCTGGGCCATCTCCTTGTGATCTCAGAACTTGGTATCAGGAGCTGATTGTGACCACAGTCTACAAATGCCACTTCATTGGCGTTGCTTATCTGGTGCTCCTGAGTATTGTTGTTAGCTGGGGTGTAGGTTGCTGACTATAAGTGATAGTTATACAGAGAATCTAATTGTACCTTGGGTTATATATCCAGTAGTTCCAGTAACATCGGCGGGATCCCTAAATGTTAGTGTGAATACAATTACTTGGCTTAGTACAAGCACTCTCTTCACCTACTGTATTAGTGCGCTATAAGGTTTTCCGATGTGTCATCGGAGGATATACCTCAGTGAATACTTAACCAACCGCTAGAATTCTACCAGATTTGTCTTTTAAGCAGTAGAGCGCCTGGAGTTATGAGAATCTAATATTGCTACCTCTGTACTTTTACTAGTTGGGAATTGGATTTGGTATAGAGGGACAGTCTCAGAGGTCAAGAACTACAGGGTAATTATATTTGGCTAAGTTATGGTTGGGTTGGCTCAGCCTTTCTGTCTATCAATACCTAGCAAGTTCAGTGAAAGTTCTTTTACGGAGAAGGGCCGTACTAGTGCCATTGCGATTGCTAGCCTTGCCAATCTGTTAGGCGCAGCTCTTGGACAGTTTTTAAACCCGTCCCTTGCTAAAATACTAGATGATATACCCAGAATAATCCTAATAATTTCCACGATTGTGAGTCACGCTTATTTCTGCCAATATATTATGTGGATATCTATACGGGCTAACTAAAGAATAGTCCTTGTTGGCTATCATACCTTCATTTTTTCATTCTAAGCCACTGACTGCACCTTCAATAGCCACTGCAGTTAATCGAACACCCCTATTTGTTGCCTTAAGGATGTAGCTAAAAAGCGAAATTTCTAGCTTCTCTCTTTACTATTCTCTATCTATGTAGCACTATTCAATTTTACTATTATCCTAATCAATAAAGTAGTATTATCCTATAGTGCTACTGAAGAGGAGGTGGGTGTTATAGACAGGATTCTAATTAGTGCTGGGCTTCTGGGAGCAGCTATCTTATTACTGTGGTATATAGATACTATTCGGAGCTTTTCTTCTATTAGCTGTATTATATATATTGCGCTTATCTTTGTACCGGTTAATACTTGGTGTATATGGCCTGTATATCTAGTCTGTGTGATCCTGGGATTATTATTATTTAGTACTTTTCCATTTATATTGGAGCTTCTGGCTGAAATAACAATTCCTTACTTCTCTGAAATAGGTAGTACAATCTCTTAGTTAGATAACTATTCAGCGCAGTCTTTATTATTACTCAGTCAGTAATGGTTACTGAGCCCTCTGCTAATCTGCCTTGCAATATACTTGGTGTTTCATCGTTTACAGCAATTTTAAGGGCAATATTCCTGCAAGCACCGCTACTGTTAACACTAGTTGACCCTGGGGCTCTACACCAGCGAGAGCGGTGACATAACACAGGACTCGAAACCGCCACGGATTCCCCTTAATTTACTTCTTGTACTTAAATAATGGTCTAGTCGGCATGGTTACCTCCCAGAAGAGCAATAAGAATGATGTGTCACTGACATGGACATACGTATATGTTGTAAGGAGCCGGATGATCAGCCGGGTAATTATATTGGCACATAACGAGATAAGGTTCTAAGCCACTAGATGGATACTTCATTGTTATACTGTTTGCTGGCTGTTTTGCTCACATCTGTAGACGTAGGAGATACGTGCTGTCATCAAGCTAGCGCCGGGCCAGATGCAAGGCTATATTGAGTCCCGAATCCCGAGGTCTAGGTCCCGAGCCCCGAAGTCTCTTACGTTATAATGATATCTACAGAATACAGGCGACCCACTGTCATGAGATGGACAAAGGGATAAGTAAACTACTCCTTAGTATCTGGCACTCGTAGTCTTGTGGTGAAGAAGTGGACTCTCAGACTCAGTTCCCACTTTCCATCAGTTTCTGCTGATCTTGATTAGAGAAAAATATTCTCGCTCACAGCCGAAGACGTAAAGGATACTGGCTCTTAAACTAGCACAGGCCAGATGCAGGCAATCTTTAACCCCATCCCGAGTTCCGGTGATATCCAGGCAACCGTGAAATCTCCAGGTAACACATTGTCGCATGCTCTAAACAGAGATTAGTAGTCTATTCCTTACTTTCTGGTTTTCCCGGTCTTTTGACCGACGAGTCCCCCAGTTTCGTTGGGTTGCACTGATCTTGAGTCAAGAAATGTAATATCACTCATGACCAAATGTACAATTTGATTACCACACATAACAGCATGGCTTTCAAAGAATTCTAGCTTGATTTGAGTCTGAGGTTACACATGTTTAGGTTGCTTTATATCTTAGTCCTAAATGCTTGAGCGATATAGCGGTACTGCGGGCCTTAAGTGAAGAGGTCGTGCGCTTTACCAGCCGAGCTCCCACTCTGTCTTGCCATACACCTTGACAGGGTGGATACATCTAGTCGTGGATGTTCCAAGTTTCGTAAACCACCCTACGAATGTTGTTAAAAATCTTTGTAACACATCGATCAGATAGGATGACCCCACGTTGGAGAGCTTCCATCAATCTCTTGCATTCGCGTTGATTTTCGATTAACTTGATCTGAACATGGGGGTTACTGTTTGCAAATTGGTGAGCAAAGGGTGAACAGAAAGTCTAGTCAGCAGCTATGCCAACACAATCTTCTCGGAGGATTCAGTAGCTCGGCTCGTTCTTCATGAGCTTCCTTACCCCTAGGTCCACTAAGATTGTTTTGAAATTTCAGTTATTAGACCCCCTACTGAATATAAATCTACTATTCAGTTCCGAGCCCGAACAAAGCCCCCCACCTATGCTTCTCCGTTCCGTGATTCATCCAGGCAGCTAATTGTGTCCTGTTCCATAGCCTCAGGGGCTTGAGGACCCTGGTAGTACACCCCGTTGTCAAAGGCAGTCATGAAAGGAAGGGAGCCTAAGCTGGACAGATTCTCTATTTAAAGGCTTGACATTCCCTTTCTTCAATACATGCTAAAACACACTTAAACACAATACCTGAGATCTTTCCTCGTAGCCACTGACTAGGGCACGACAAACTCATGTCAAAATGGCACAGCGACTTATCTATTGTGTTTCTTTCACTATCGCTGTCTTCTGTGGCATGTGTGTAGCAAAGGATCACTCTGACAGTGATCCAGGCTATGACTGTCGACCAGGGAAACCATGCTGGCCTAATGATAGCGAATGGAATCAGTTCAATACCACTCTTGGCGGCAATCTGTACGCGACTGTGCCCCTCGCGGCTTCATGTTACCTCGGATCTAAGACTTACGATCGAAACGCATGCGACAAGGTGGCCTCGTCGTACACCAACTCCACCACCCGAAGTGCTGTGTACGGTGCCAGTGAGATCCTGAATTGGGAAACCTGTCACGAAGCAGGATGCACATTACAATCACTACTCCCTCAACTGCCCCCGGTTTTGAACCAGTGCACTCCCGGTCGACTGTCACAATACTACGTGAATGCAACGCATCCTAGTCACGTATCTGAGACCATCAACTTTGCACGTCGGCACAACCTACGGCTCTCGATCAAGAATACTGGCCATGATTACTTTGGACGCGGTACGGCGCCGAATTCTCTAGCTATTTGGACACACCACATGAACAATATGTCATATCATTCTGACTTCAAGGCCTTCAAATGCCCCTTGGCAGATGGTCACAATATTGGAGAAATTGGAGCCGGAACACAAGCAGTCGACGCATATGCCTTTTTTGAGAAACATGGCATGAACGTTCCTGGTGGCAACGAAGGCACCGTCGGCCTGGCTGGAGGGTTTGGCCAAGGTGGCGGTCATGGCGTTTTTGGGCCATCGTATGGGCTAATGGTGGACAATGCTGTGGAGTTCGACATTGTTACTGCGGACGGCAACCAGCGCACCATCAACGCATGCAATGATCCAGATCTATTCTGGGCTATGCGTGGTGGAGGCGGCGGGACGTTCGCCGTTTTGACGGCTTACCGATTCCAACTACATCCTACTAGGCCCATCCATCTTTACACTCTTCGTGCCGAATTCCCGCCGCTACGAGCGGAACAAGCACTGCATGACTTTTTGACCATCCACGCCAACAGCCAGACAGCCTGGTCCAACAATCGAGTTGCTGGACATGCGTACTACTTTCCATCAAAAATGGAGATGTATCTGGTTTTACCAGACGAAGACCCAACAGTCCTGCAGGATTTGACCTCCGCCTACCAGACCTATGCGGCCAGTTACCCGGGTCTGACCGTCTTAGAAAATCGATATTCTACGTTTGAGAAATATTCCGGACTATTGCAGGTTACCCAATCGATTGCAGACCGGCTGACTCCATCTGGCTTCTACGAAGTTCTCGCTGGCAGGCTATTGCCGCGCAACCTCTTCAATTCGCAGAGCAGAGAATCTCTTGTCAATGCCGTCATAAGTGGCATCAGGAGCAGTGACAATATCATAGCGCGGGCTGCTGATATCCCAACGCAAATCATTATGACTACACCGGCGAACCATCCAAATGGAAGTGCGACTGGAGTTCATCCCGCTTGGCGAGATGCTCTTTGGCACCTTGTATATTCGGGTGGATGGACAGATGGCGTTCCGGCAACTGCCCAAAATCATATCATAAAGAGTTTACTAGACTCTGTCGAACCAGTCAAGAACCTGACAATCGGAGGTGGGTGCTATGTCAACGAAGGTCATTATCTGGAGCCTGATTGGGAGCAAACCTTCTTTGGCTCCAACTACGACAAATTGCTGGCAGTGAAACAGCGTTACGACCCGACGCATCTTTTTGATTGTTGGAAATGTGTTGGATGGCGTGGTCCCTCTGAGTATGTACACCTTGGTCGATCTGCAGTTGTTGGCGATTCTAACCAATATTTCTTTCTTAGCCCCTTCTACTCTTGCTACTCGTAGTAGCCTTGGAACTTGCTTTAAGTGCTGGCCTTCACTGGTGTGTATATCGCGTAAAAGGCTAACCAGAACTTTCGTGCTGAGAATAATGTGGTTTGATAAGAGAGAATAGAATTCAGGCGGGCGATATATATTGTCCTATCACATTTTTGTTCATCATTCGTCTATTTTTGCTATCGTCATTTCAAAGAATATCCTCTCATTGTAGTATTTGCATCCATGGACGGCGCGTAGCTGGATATGTTAAGTTGGGAATACTCGGAGCGTCATTGCTTTGTCAGGCCTTTTAGACTGTGAAGCAATCGTGATCTGCCTTCTTACAATCCACTGGTAACGGGCCGGTCGCCCAACACGATTTATCGCGCCCTCTAGAAATGAAGCTATTCAACTACCTGCCAAACCACCAAAATTGCCTAAAAGCTCTAAAGGTCGTGTGGAGCAGTAAGGCAGGATTTTGCTTACTATTTCAGCTTTGGAAGATAGCAAAATTTGCAGTATTTGAAAGCCTTCACATCCTTTTGACATTCCTTATTCCACCCTTCAAGAACCACTAAAGTGGCATAGTTTCTAGTTTCTATGCTAAAGTATGCGGCAATGGCCATAAGTTTACCCAAACAGGGATGATCCCTTAATACGCTGGATTCTATCGTTAGATCAGCGTGGAGCAGCTCCCCGGCTTGCACACATCCGAGAAGTGGCCACTACTTTGCTTGCCAAACGTGGCGATTCCATAGCTAATACTGTAAATAAGAAATGGATACAGAACCTGGCTCAATGCAGGGATGAGCTAGAATCCCATTTCTCTCGCCGCTAAAACTTCTAATGTATCAAATACGAGGATCCTAAACTCCTATATAAGTAGTTTGAGCGTTTACAGATCAATATAATACCGTAGAGCATCCAGCCGAATGGTATCCTACAATTTTAATGAAACCGGCTTTGCAATAGGCTTGATATCTACTACAAAAGTAATCATATGAGCCGAGTTAGCTGGTAGGCCTTCCTACTATAACCAGGGAACCGGATTAGGTTGCTTCTATTGTATATACTAGCCCTGAAGGATCTCCTAGAATTGGGCGCTTCAGCTTAGAAGGCTCAGGAGCTTATACAAAGTAGGTTTCTATAGAACCTATATTTACTACCTTGGGTAGATATAGGCCCAGCGGTAGAAACCAGCGTGTGAGCGCTCCACCAAAGTGCGCTGGCTGCGGTGTTCTATGCCATACAATTACTCATTGTCCTAATCATCAGACTATTGGAGTTTATCTATGGAAAATGCAGATTTTTCGTTATTTTGATTATGTTCATTATAAGGAGGAACGAAAAGTCGCCGTGAGTGACCAGCCCGATGTGTGCCGTAGGCAACCATATATGATATTTGTCTTGAGTCCCGATTTCCGAGTGCCAAGTCCGAAACCATTCATCTACAGTAATCAACCAAACGCGACTTCCGCAAAACCCATCCCCTAACACCCGGCTCACAATGCTTCATTCGCGGCTCTCGCATGTCTGCGATACCTGCAAGACACGGAAGGTTAGGTGTAAGAGTAAGTATCATGTACAATGTTTTCTTCTAGTAAGAGAGCTAACCGTTTCTTTCAGAGCCATCGGATCTTTCAGCAGGTTGCGATAATTGTCGCGTAGGTGGCGAAACCCCCAATTATGACAATGCTTACCACGGGGAATAGAAAAAAGGGGATACTTGCGTCTACAGTCCCTTGAAGAGAAGATTCAAGTCTCAAAATCTGAGACCACGGAATCAGAATCCACGTCAATCTCAAGGAGCTGCCCGTGCTCGGTCGGAGACGAGGACAGTGGGAGTGACTACGCCGCCATCATCAGCTCCTTCCAGCGAAAATCCTTCACAAGATGGTAGAGATGACTTAAACCGGACACGAGTTCCAGATCCCATTCAAAAATCCTCACATCGAACCCTCTATGTGGACCATGTGCTTCAAACTCGTCAGTCAACGGGACGCAGTCAGAACGCTTCTTTTATCCTAGGAGTAAGCTTCCTGTCTCGACCCTTTGCAAAACTTAATACTTATCATTGAATCTATAGGCCGACGAGAACTATTGTAGGTCTTTCAGGAGAATAGGATTTTAATGTGCGTGGTCTTGCCTAATCTTTTATTACCAGTGGCCAGCTCAAGCATGAGTTTCTTCTCCGAAAGCCGATTAGATGCTCTTTCAGTATGTCTAGGTAATAATGCGCTCAGGTCGCTTATCTCGAGTATATCAGGCATGGTCAAATCGCGTGTGGAAGTACTCAATCGTAACCTCAGACCGTCTAGTATCTGGAACCGAATGGGCGAGATTCCTGTCCTACTGCCAGGAAGAGCACGCTATTTCATTGAGAGTAGGCTATCCTATCTATTGGATTGTGGGAGCAGCTGCTGATTTCCAAACAACTTCCAGTCTACTTTGAAAATATCCACCCTTTATATCCCTTTCTAGACCGTCACGAATTCGAGGCCAGGGCATTTTTATCTACTTTGGGTACTGATCTTGCTAATGATATAGCTTGGGCAACTTTATATTATACTGTACTAGCTTTAGGTTGCGAGTTTGATGGTGGAGGCTCGTTCACGCCTGGCAAAGGCGAAGCCTGGAGTCTTTTTAAGGTCGCACTTGATCTTTACCCAAGGGTCTTGCTACTAAATACAGACCTCCTAGAAGTTCAGGTAGGCTAAGTTATCCATTCTCCTCCATTCCCCATCACGATGAGGCTAGTACTAACGTACCTAGTCAATTACGGCCATGGTAGATCTCAAGCTTATCTTACTCTCTGCCAAAACACATTCTTAACAAATGCAACAGGCCATATTCTGTCTCAACATGTCGGGCACCCAGATAGAAGGAAAAATTCTATCCGAGGCTGCAAGGGCTGCCCAGCGCGCATTCTTAAACAAAGCATCTACCGGCAGCGACACCACAGGTCGTAGCCGAGTTTTCTGGGTAGTGTATTACATTGAGAAAACAGTGTCATTTTATACCGGCTGTACATCGGTAAGAGGCTTATAGTCATTTGTCTTTCTCTTCCCCTCCTTTGAATATTTTGCTGACGCTGGGTTGACAGTTTATTGTGGACTGCGATATTGGTTCTCCCGTACCTTTTATTGAGGAGGCAGTCTTCGAGAATTTTGACTGGTTTTTTGTTTCGATAAAGTTCGCAAGGCTTTACTCGCGCATATTCACTGAGCTATTCTCTATAACTGCAACAAAGAACTCAAGGACAACATATCTGAATACGATATTTGAATTTGAAGAGCTCTTAGAGCAACAATGTCAAGCAATTCCATCTCGATTCCGGCCTGGTGTTAAGCTGCGACCGCAAGTATTTTCACATCCCTGCGGACTTAACGCCGCTCTTCGGGTTCATTACCACTATCATGAGCTCAAGATCGCTCTCCATCGCTTGAAGCTGCATATCAGTCGTAACCAAATTATTCCCCGGCTGTCATCGGACATGGCTGACATTATGAACTCGGCACGTGCCGTAATTGAAATTACTCGGGTCGTTCAGCAAGAACCATCTACACCGTTCTAGTAGGTTACTTGCCTGTGTTGTGTGTCGTCTTGCTAAATTGCGCAGCATTATATTCTTCATGCCGTTTACGGCCTTGTTCATTTTATTTGACCAAATCATCCGAGATCCAAGTCAGGAAGATACTCACGGCAATCTCGCCTTACTTGAAAGTGTGACTGGCTACTTCAGCGCCCTCGAATACGCCACGAGTGGGTATTTACCAGGTTCTATGCTGATGCCATTTGCCTCTATTGCTCGACAATTTCACTCTACTTTTCAGGCCTCCCGTGGGGACAATGTCAGTAGTGGCAGTTGTGACAAGGGCGCTACTTCTGAACAATCCACGGCGGAAATGCTCGGCGTGGAACCAACCACACATGGCCAAATACCATGGGAGGTTAGTGCCTAATACGACATTTGAGTCCAACAGTCTCTGTTTCTAACATCGATACCTGCATCTAGATTGTTTCTCCTCAGCCGAATATTGATTACTCATCTCAAAGTTTGCCATCTATTTCCTCGAATAATTTCATCATGCCTGATGGCAGACTCACTCCTGGTTTGCAGATCATGGATCTCTTTTGTGGTCCTGGTCATGACGCTGATTTCTTTTTCGCCCCAAATTGATGGAATTGGAATGCGAGTCGTTACTTTGGCGACTGGTGAAGATTAGATCACAAACCAATGTTCATAGACCTGATTAAAAGGCTTTGAGTGATTACAAATATCAATCTATAGCAGCAACATTCCAGCCCTGCAAGACACATGTAATTTAATTGCCAACATCCAAAGTTCGTGTCCAGAAAGTGGAAGGTGCTACGTGCACCTACGGGGATATGTATAATTGTAGTCACCTGCATACCGCTCTTTTAGTTGAGGCCATAGATCCAGACACAAGTGTAACAATAGTATCCAAAAATGCAAAGGATACACAACTATGGGTTGTCACAATAGTTGCCTGACTGCTGCCTAAAGCACTGGCAGCATGAGAGACTGCCACTGCAACGTGGTCACGTCATGTGGTCTGAAACGATTTGGATGGACGTGACGATGCAGAGGTTTCTCCATTATATGCATGCCCTCCTCGCGATGACCAGGTCTACCGCAGGCAGGATAGGTTCCAGGCAAAGGGTGATTGCCAATTGTTTCCTTGGCTACCCGACTGATTGCAGTTTGGAACTCTATTACTTGCGGCAGAACATCCCTAACCCACAAGGTAATTCTTGGAATTGTCAGTGACGTGAATTTTACTGATAGTTAAAGTGATAGTGCCCAAAGTTTTAATCGTTGGAGGGGGGGAAGGTTGACCCGAAAGCGTCTTTCCTCATGGTGTGAGTAGAACGCATGTCATTAAATCAAGAAGAAAGAAGTTATGAAGAATTACAACAGGCGATGTGAAAATTATAATTGCGAGGTCGAGACAAAATAGGTCGTCGCAAGAATGTTGTCATGTGTGGCCCACAACAGACTTGGACTTGCCGGTCGATACGCGAGTCTTAAAATCAGCCAACAAGAGCTTTCGTAGGCCAATATTTGCCAAATGGATCATAGCCAACAGATATCGCAGTCCGAATACACTGCTGGGAAAAATCAGATATAAGGCAGAGGTCTTCGAGGAATCCGGCCGAAATTTGTCATGAAACGCCTTTTTCCCGTGAATTGGGAGGTGCGGGATCGTTTGATCGTACAATTTCCGTGCCATCTTCGCCACAGGCCCTGGTATTCCAACTATGTTCTCCATTGAGAGGGACTGAGATGGCTCAATTCCAAGCCCTATGGAGGAGACCCCGGCTCGGCGTAGCAAAGTCATTGCAGCAACGACCAATAAATCAGTCATTCCGTTGGGACTGCCTGGAGCAACAATACAAGGATCAAGATGGTAGCCTCCGTCCCCCAGCTGCCGTATGGCGGCGAACCCGGTAATGAGCCCTCCTGAACTTTGAGCATAAATGAAAGTCATAAGCTCTGGTAGGGCGAACAGGTCGTAAACAGTGATGAATGCTTGCAGTCCAGCAGAGGCATTCCGCTCTGCGCGCCATGCCTCATAGATAGCAACCAGACTTGCTTGGAGTTGGAAGTCAGTGCCATGTACAGCAGGTGTATACACACCGAGAACAATGCCACCTTTTTGCGCATTTAGCAACTGCCGGCTCTGGGAAGCAATGCGCTTCCCAGCCTGTCCCAGCAGAACTGTGTTTGTTTGCGGATTAAGCGCCCGTTGAGTGCCGAACTCAATCATTGTCCAGCCTTTGCATTGGGCATAGCCTTTTGCGAACGCATCGCTTGCTCCCATAAAGGCTATGTCTAGATGATTTCTTTGTCGAAAATTTGCGAATTCATCCATGACACTTGCGATCTCTGTCCACTCACAAAGAGGATCACCGCATACGACGGCTACTCCGGTTTGTAACTTATAAACAACAGCTCCGGTTCTTGCTTTGTTCAAAAAAAACCGGTAGCTAACATCAAGAATACTCATATGCGCAACCTGACCATATCGGGCCGCCAAATGTTGGATGACTGTTTTTACAGAACCATACTTCAAGGATAAGATATCATTGTTGCCTAAGGAAATGCCAAAAGCCTGCTGAAGACACTCGGGGGTCCGGCTCATGTCACTGTATATCGTCTTTCCAGGTTCTTGGAACTTGGAGCCAACGCAGTCCAGGCTGTTGTTATGAAAGGTCTGATCAGGCCCAGCGGGAGGACTGTTTCTTCTCTTGGGCGACGAGAGCAAACATAGAATCAATGAAGATGAGCTCCTGCTCAAGTACTCGATGAGAGGATCGACTGATGGATATGGCTCATTTTTGGCGCTAGCGGAAAGGTCAAGTCGGCTGGCAAGTGCATGATCTATATCATGCAAAAGGATTCTTTTCTTAGCCTTGTGACTGTCATGTTCCATGGCAGGACTCGTATAAATAATCGCGGTAGGATCCTCGTAGGGACGGGCGTTTTAGGGCTCGGTCCAGGTGCGTGCGACAACAGTATTTGCAGTTGAGAAAACAAATTGTTACCGCGAGAAGGAGAAGAATCGTCAGGGATCTAGGATGCATGTAGCCATACAACTTTTCTTTGTTCGAAAAAGTATGCGTCAATTGGCAATAGGCACCATAGTCGCATCGCCGCAAGGCAGCTTTATTCCAAACCTCAATTTGATTGGTCGCCTACGCACAATTACAAGAAACCTTTCGGTCTCAACAATTTTTGGAAGGAGTCCCGAGTTCCGAGTCCCGAACGAAGACGCCACAAGTAGTCGATAGGAACCATAAAAAGAACTGCAAAGGACGGTGAGAGTAGCTAGATCTTTGATTAAAATGTCCACACGATATACAATGATACACTGATAGTTGCCTCTAGGCGTAGACTAATATTTCTTCAAACTTCTACATAACGAATATGAAATTGGACAAACCATCTGCATCCTGGTTCTTTACCTCAACCCCTGGTATCGAATACCATTACACTAGACTGCAGAAGCAGAGTCACTTCACACACTTTGCGATCCGTTTCCTCCACTCCTAGTAGTCTACTTCGTACATCACTGGGCCACATTTTAGCCACCAATCAAAGGCATTTCGTAGGCGTCAAAGACTGGAGCCTTATCATCTTAGAAGTATATTTTGAAAAGTGAAGACTGAATGCTTGGGATCAACACTATCTTTGTAGACAAGTGTAGCCTAAAATCAAAATTTCTAAAAGATGCTGAATATTAATTTCTATTAGAATATTAGATATAACCTATAGTATTGAACATAGTTTAATAGTAGATAAAGTAAAATATGTAGATTAAAGTACTAGGGTTCTGAGAGATTAGTATACTCTAGGAGTAGAGTTAGAGAATATAAATCAATAGATTATAGTTAGAATATATATTTAGCTCAACTATTTTCTAATCTAATTAAATATCTTAGTTAAGATTAATTATTACTATATCCTTTGTCCCTATCTGGGTATAATTATAGTGGCCTTAGATCTGTGCCCCGGTGCTTATTTCAAGGCTATGGCTAGTTAATTAACTATATAGACATGTTTTCCGCCCGCAGCGTCGATCATGGACGCCCAATAGTTAACTAGAATGTAGTATAAATAGTAATATTAAAAAAACAGAGTCCGATTACAATTCAGTACAACAGAATTCGATATGATATGTGGACGCTTTTAGAATAACAGTCTAGTCACGCGTGAGAATACAGAGTAATAAATTGACAGATCGTCTTCTCTGGACAAAACCAACACAAAATAAACGATTCAACAATAACTTTGGGATCCAGGATCCCCGAAGAAATAAAAGAAAGCAAAGACAGGTACCGGGAGAGAATCTACGGGTCACACACAGCCAACAGGCGGGAGTACGCACAGGTGGGGGAGGGCCGGGTCGCGCAGGGAGACGAGTAAATCCAGCGCACGCTTGGTGGACCACACACTAGGGTATAGGGTATCTAGATACTACCTTTTAATACGAAATGACAAGATGATGGAGTGTCGCCATTAGGCAAGGGCTGCACTACAAAGGTTAGGCCCCTCCAAAACTACTATAAAAAGAAAGCAGAGCGTTTTAGCATCTCCAGGGAACAGTGAGTGAAGATCTACACAACGGCAAAAGAACGAAAAGAGCCACAGATATTCATATTCGCAACGCTGTCAGAAAGAAATATATGTATATAACCTGCGTGGGAGATTCTATTGAGCCTTACTGCCTGAGAGCGGTCATAGGCATATGTCTTGTGTATCTTGTGGCCTCGGGTACACACATTTTGCAGATTATCCAACCTCCAAATCCAAATCTGCTTCGTCCGGTCGTTGCAGCCCTTGGCCCTGCCAACGCTCCATCGCTGCAGCGAAAAGCTTGACCTGATCCTTCTTTCCATACATAGGATAATCTTTACCACGCCTCCACCGACTTTCTCTTGTTTCTATCAACCAGGCCTCTTCATCATGACTGGACCTAAAGTCGCTTTCGAACACATAAGCGCGTGTCTCACAGTTATACCATCCAGTACCTGGGTGGCGATATGAGTCCTCCCAGTCGTCTGTAAGATAATGCAAAAATCCACCGTGTGTGACGAGAACAATTTCTGCGTCGTCATCTCCATTCGAAACGAGCTCCCGTAAAAGCTCGCGCAAAAACAGTCGAGTATCCCGGGCTCGAGCTCTGATCGCATCGTTGCTATGACTATAGCGGCTTCTAGCATTCTTTTGGTTCCAGCCATCTCTCACCAAAGAAAGGTCCACAGGCCATTTCTCCTCTTCTACGATACGTCGTAGGGTGTCTGGGTCCGAGCCAATATCACACAGGTCACTTGACGTTTCCTGAGCGTCAGGGAAGGCGATAATTCTTTGAGATTTGAGAGTCGACATCAGAGCTGTCTTAAAAACTAGAGACGCAGTTTGCAGTGTTCGGCTCATAGGTGAAGATATGACAAGTGAAATTCTCGACTGGTCAAAGAAGACGCCTTGACGAAGCGATTCACATTGTCTCTCCCCAGTTGGTGTCAAACGTGGGTCAGGAATAGTATAGCAACCGCCACCCACATTATGAAACCCTTGCCCATGACGAACGCAATGGATAATTGGTGACATAGTCTGTAATTTCAAGGTCAGTATAGAGCAACAGTAGAGTTTGCAAGACAATAGTATCAATCTTGACAGCTAGGAAATGACCCCTACCGTGTTGCTGGGGATGTAGGTTTTTTTGGATCCAGAACCTTTCGCTAGCAGATTGTGTAGATCCTCAGCTTAATGAATGTAAACAGTACCCGTTGTCAAGCCTGAAGAGCAGCAAGCGTGATGTGTAGCTTAATGCCCAGGCAAAAATCTAACAAAGATCGATTTTTTTCTTGCTCATGGTTGATATTAACTAACTAGTTATACGCCGTGCTTATAAAGGATACAGTCGCCTTGGAACTACAACTGAGCTCACTACATTAGCTGGTGGAGCGAGAATGAGCCAATCGGCAACTCTCCTTTGCTCCTGCTTTTTAAGTCTCCGGGTGGCTAGTGTCTTGGCAGCCTCATATGGAAATCTATAGTGGAGTGTCTTTTTGGCAGTTGAACGAATCAGAACAGTCCTTTCGCTCTACACTGTTAACGTTTAATCAAACTATGCATTTGAATCAAGGAAACGGGCCAAAATCCAAGTCATGCCCGATACAACAACGCTCTTCCATTCTTCTTTTCCTTTTGTGAAGCATATTATAAAAGAGCTATTAATTTGAGGAATTTCAGTCGTTGCGACTGTCAATTACTGTCGGGCGAAAAATCCATCAGGTCTTGGATTGTTTGGCGCTGAGGACTTCCGTGGCAGTCAATATCATCCGCACACCTGGTGCCTTGTTTACTTAACTGGTGAGCGTGTTGGATGCTCTTCAACCTCCGGAGACATTGAAAGCTCACAAGATGGCTGTCGAGAATCTACGCGGAGCGTTCAAAATGCCGTCGAAAAGCACCTCTCGCTTAAACGTGCCGGAAATCCCTCAGGATGAATCACCATCTGCTCGGATTGAACGCCTTGGACGTGAACGTCCACCGGCATTTCCTAATCTATGGACTGAACTATTTTGCTTGTTTAGCATATTCATGTCACAGTTCTTGACCGAGTTCTTTGTCTCAGGCTTCACAGTCATCTTGCCACCACTGGCCCAAGAGCTGAAGATTCCCCAGGCTTCGCGGGTATGGCCCGCGACTGCCTTTTCGCTGGTGATTTCGAGCACTTTACTCATATTTGGTCGTCTGGGTGATATTTGGGGAGGATACCCTGTCTTTTTCGCTGGCCTTACGTGGCTTCTTATATGGAGTCTAATCGCAGGATTCAGTTCTGGCCCTGTCATGTTAAACATTTCTCGAGCACTTCAGGGCCTCGGAGCTGCTGCCTTTCTCCCAACGGGAGTCATGATTATAGGCTCACTCTACCGGCCCGGGCCTCGTAAAAACCTTGTCTTTGCAATCTACGGCGCCGCCGGCGTTCTGGGCTTCTTTGGTGGCATCGCCATTGCAGGGCTCGTGGGTCAATTCTTACACTGGAGTTATTACTTTTGGATCGGCACTGCACTTGTAGCGATAACGCTCACCGCAGCAATATGTGCTATGCCATACTCCGCTTTGGCACATGACTCCCGAAAGAAAGTGAAAATGGACTATCTCGGTGCCATTTTCATCGTTTGCGGCCTCGTTCTTACAATTTTCGCGATCACTCAATCCGCACACGCTCCGTCGGGATGGAAAACGCCATATGTCCTGGTAACTTTCCTCCTAGGCATTATGTTTCTTGTCGGGGCGTGGTATGTGGAGCAGAATGTTGTCTCGGATCCGCTTTTGCCTGCATCACTCTTCGCAGTGAAGTCAATGACACCTTTACTCATTGCCCTCCTACTACTCTACGGTACCTGGGGTATTTTCTCTGTCAATGGCTCACTCTACTTCCAAACCGTCTTGTCAGCTTCGCCACTTCAGGTCGTTGTGTGGTACATACCTATTGGCGTCGTTGGACTTGTTGTCAGCGTCGTTGAAGGGTATATCTTACATCTCGTCCCTGGCCATGTTCTTATGATAATCTCGGGCTTAGCCGCCGTTGGATCACAACTCCTCCTCGCCCTCATTCCCCCCGGTGGAGGAAGCTACTGGGCATGGATCTTTCCATCGTCCATTCTCAGCACTATTGGCATCGATCTGTCTACTGTCTTGATGACAGTTTTCATTACGACAGTCGTCCCGTCTTCGCAACAGGGACTGGCAGGGGGTGTGTTAAATTCTGTGCTGCAGCTTGGCATCGCCTTAGTCCTCGGGTTAACAGACATAATTCAGTCAGGCGTGGTCAAGGATAGGGGATTAGAACAAAGCTATAAAGCAACATTCTGGTTCGGGGTCGGTGTCGCTGGTGCCAGCTTGATAATTCTGGTGCTCTGGGGCAGGATACCCAAAGCTCTCAGCGAGCTGACAGCCGATGAAAAGCGGGAACAGGCTTATTCGTCCTGATTTGTCAAACCATTTGATTCCGGCGAGAGGCCAAGAGCTCCGTACCTTGACAAGGTTGCAGCAAACAGTGTGAGGCAAGGCCGCTTCGTGCTTTGTACGTCATCGCCTCGTTAAATTTGACGAATGGCCGAAGCTTCCGCAGACTATCAGTAACGGCCTGTTTCAAACTCTACATAGTTAAAAGAGCTTTTCATATCAATGTCATGTTGTTGGTTTTCATGTATCATGACATCGTATCGTGTTCCTTTTGCCCAAGACATTGGCGCTGGGCCCCTCTATTTATTTGTCAGTCTGGCTGTAAAGAGGGGTCACATCAGTAGAGCTGCATCGCTAATTACGTTTCCAGAAATTGTTTATTTTAAGGAATCTCCAGCGAATACGTGCTTGATTTCGATGCAGAAAGGGCGCTCTACCCAACATGAATACTGGTGCGAGATGTGATGATGGTATTATTCATATATGTAGGGAGTCCTGGCAATTGCAAGTGGTAGTCCCTCGGTTCTCTTGCTCGTCTGCCTTATGCCAATGTATCTATTTCTCAAACGCCTCCCTTCCCAAACAGGGAAATCAACACCGTGCAAATTCTATGGTAAGCTACAGCTCAGGTGCGGCATAGTATCCACTAAGAGACCAACAACTTGTGATGCTCAACAAAGATTGAATTCCGGTAGCTGGCTGCTGCCTTGCCGAAATGCAAGAAATAATTTGAGCAATACCAGATTAATTAAGTGATTGCTAAAGGTCTTCCAAAGTAGCACGGATGCTTAATAGAGGACTGGCCTCAATAGTACGATAGATGTAGTTTATCTTATTGAGGGATCCTGTTGATAAATTGCAGTGAACAAATGGTCACCAACAACATAAACAGGAAAGATGAGACGATTGTGCGCCTTGAAATTGCTACTGATGACATCAATACAGCCCATGCAGAAGTTGACATGTTGCTGAACCACATGATGCCTTGGTGGTAATCCATAGACTGCTCGGTACAATGTGCTATGCTGGTATGCTCGTGTGAATATGATTCTCTGGTTGACTCGTTTAACTTCACCGCGAGAGACGGTCTCCTCCCTCGATCTGCCAAAGTGATATAGGTTTGAAGATTTGAAAGAATGGTTGAAGGTACCTTTTGAACTTTCGTACCTTCTCAATTCCGAGCGAACTTTTACTATTCTGTATTTAATCGCGATAGAATGCAAGCGATGCCATGCTACAAGATGTGGCTGCTAAGGTGATTCTGTAGGTCTCGTTCTCCCACAAAACGGGGATCACGCTCAATATCAAGCCAAGTGTTAACAACGGTCGATCATCGAGTAGCGCACGTGTGAGATCCATTGATGCGAACTCGGATAAAAATGTGTGAGGTATCTCAGCGCTCTGAGCCCGCCTAATTGCTCCACGATAGTACGTACCCCGACCTAGTGACTTATTGTGGATGCGGACTGCTCCGAACAATCAATGAGACCATCCAAAAGGTAGAGTAGCAAAACGGCGACGATGACCCGCCAAAGTGATTCGTTTTTGACAAGCACTCGCGGAGTTGTTTTCGAACCGGACCTCCGACAGTTCGATTGCTTCTTGCTGATTATTTGTTGATGGACAGGACTGTTGCATACTAGTGGAAAGGACATCTATTCGCGATAGATTTAAATCAGCAGCCGAGTCCTTGACGGGGTAAGTACAGATGATGAGCACACACCAGCCAGAAGGATAAAGTCGCATGCTTGCTCGTTACCAGCTGCAATTTCAGAGCACTGAAGTCTGCGTATAGCATATGATTATACTATACTTAGCCTAGATTCCATCTTGATTAGTAACAATCGTGGCGGGGAGAAAACTAGGATTTGGATTTGATTTGCTGAAGGAAGCAAGGGTGTGGGACATAATTTTCAGCAACGAATGCTCATCAAAGCAGGAGAGCAATAGTGTGGCTCGAGGACCAGGTGAGATTGTGTTTTTGGTTCTCATATTGCACCGATCTACCCTATTTTTCATGAGAATATAAAGCGCCTCCACAGCTGCCTCTACAGCCGTATTCACACACTCTCTCTATAGAAATGGATTTTTGAGTCTATTCATGACCAGTTTTGGGCATGGGTTAGGATAATGTGATCCTGTGGGTAGGGACAGCTGTAGATGGAGATACGAACATCTTTTGGGGCAATGTAGTCCCATGTCGCTCATCGCCTGTTGGGCGAATAATCGAATTGATACTTGGGCTTGCTTGAAAGCATCTTTGTCTTCGTTCTAGGAAACAAGACCCTCAGGCATCCAATTGCCTCTTATGTTCCCTTCGCAGATTGCACCTATGTACCTCTTATCTGGATCAGCGCCAAATGGTCAAGGGTGCTTGTGTGAAATTTCAACTACTTCTGCCACTAACCATCTCATTTCGCGAACCACAAGTAGCTCGATCTCAGAGGGACAACCACTCTGTACCAGGGTCCTTCAAGCAGAACAGTTCAATTGAATGTGCCTTTGACCTGCAGTTGGGCAGGTGCTCAGGCGGTGGGAAGAACCCGATGCTGAATGGCATTCGTTGGAACCTTCTGAAATGTTCAAAAACTAGCGGTGTACTGGGAAACATTGTACGGCAAATTTGCAGCTCGCGTGTTGCTTCAAGCCTTTCTCCTCCCTCCATCTTTGCATGAACAATCAACGCATATGACGTTGTCATGATCGGGGTGTGAGTTGTCGGACTCATGGACATTGGAATAGCAAGGGAGAAATCCAATGATAAAAGCTTGGTCTCTTCCGTTGGCTGTGGCTGTTCCATTTCGGTGAAAAGTCTCAGCACAAACCAGTACTTCTGCATAAGTAGCTTCTGGCTACTTCTTCCTCTTCACGAATTGAGGAATGGCCCTTCGCTTTGTCGATTGCATGACGAACCACGTCAGCGAGACTGACACTTAACGGTGCCGTCGACTTGCTCCTAAAGCATGCTGATGGCAGATATATGGCACCAGAGAGAGAATAGTATATGCCTCTCCATAAGATGTAAAGAAGATATTGCGTGTTAGCCGGTGCGTCTATCTCGAGAGTAGACACGGTATGAGACAGGTATGGAGGTGAGGTAGGAATAGAGTATACTGAAAGACCGGGGGTTTTGTGCCCACGAAGTCTTCTGATACGATTTTAAAGACGCAGAAATTGAAGATGCACCTCATTGCTGGACCATGTAACTGTCCAGATGTGCAGTGAACTTAGTCCCAAAGGGGAAGCCAAGAGACAGAGCCCCAGTTGGTTAAATATCAAGTGTCGAGTCGATGTGGATCTTAGGGATCAAGACCATGAACTTTATTTTAGAGCAAGTACATGCTGGCAGAAAGTAGACGCATTAATCTTGAAAATCTTCTATATTAGATGTTGACCTCAGCTATAATGTCCCGTCAGGCCCGCAAGATAATCAAGGAATAAAGTGACTATACGAACATCCAATCTTCACCCCACTCATAGACATATTCGATCCATCTTCGAGATGACCCTTCCATAGCTCGACGAGCCCAAATCTTCTCAAGCACCTTCAAGGCATTTGTCACATTGTGACAGCGCCATAGTGTCCACAGATGTCCAAACACATCAGTAATGAGTACCCTTTGAGACATTGTTTGTGCCTCGGCGCCAATAACAAATGCAGGCCATAAGATGCCTTTGAGATGGACATCCGCGGGGTCCATAGATTTGAGATGATGAAGGATTGCATCTAGTGAATTGCTGATTCTCCCTCCGTTGATAACATCGCTTTCGAAAGGAACTGGGAGAACTTGCAGCGCGTATATGTCGACCGCTGCTTGCCAGACACAGGCAAGTTGATATCTTGGTTTCATGTAGTGAGTTTCCGCAACCGCAACTGCCCACTTCATTGGAGAGAAGCTCCACAGATGGGAGAAAATGTTGTCAATCAAATCCGGTGGCAATTCGTAAGAGCTCGAAGCAGCGGCATTCACGAGAGAAAGCACGTAGAGAAGGGTTGCGGGGCACCCGGTCCATGTCTGGGACTCAGAACGCTTCAAGATGTCGAGAGTAGTGGACATCGAGAAGAGCGGCTGGTAAGGCTGTTTGGCTTTCACAAATGTCGACCCTATGATTTCAAAACTGTAACATCGAATTAGTGACCATTGCTGTACGGGATCCAGACTGGGACCTACTTACATCGTGTAGCTCGTGCCAAAGTATTCGATCATTTGAGGCAAGTCAGCGGTCAATTCTCCATCCCTGAAGGGCGCGAGGGATAATCCGCGCTTTGGCATCACTTCTCTCAGTCCACGAAGATGGTATCTCCAAGTATCTCGTCCAGAATCCATGAGCTCGAGCCATATGGACATTATCATGGATGCTATGACACCGTCCGGATTACTGAAATATCCCGCATGTGCTTCGCTTCTCAAGAAGCTGAGAGTTTGCTGTTTGTGGTAAAGAGCATCGTGATATGTTGGCAGCTGGTGCAGCTGGTGCATCTCCTCAACCCATTGTGATATTTGTACTTCACTTGGATTCGACTTGTATGCCATAATCTTTTCGTTGCATTGAGCTGATGCGATTCGGAAGGCCTGATGCAGAGCTGCGACTGACACCACCGCGTGGCATAATCCCGGACATGATGGAATCAATCGCATGAACTCCTTGAACGGATTTACTCGCTCGAAATCATATAGCACGCATTCCTGGCAACACTGTTGCTCAACTGATTTTCAATCAGCCAGTACTCAATTGGCTCAGGCACTCCACTTACAATAAGCGATATAGTCTCGCATTGACGGAGACAAATCCTGCAAGCCAGGATCATTCAGGACCCTGCTGATTGGAAGATATTGCTCTTGACGTGGCACCTGCTTGCCCATTAATTTGCCGCGGCTTGCCACACTGTTTGTCCATCGCAGAGGCTTGTCTTTGCTGTATCCCAGACATGGTCGCTGCGAAGATGTGCATTTGCCACAGATGGGGAGTGCTCGGTCGCACTTAAGACGTCGGCGACGACAGGTCCAACATGGAAAATCAGCACAGTTCGCAGCAGCAGTATTCATACTCATTGAATTCCAGAAGTCTTTTGGTAGTCGTAAGAAAGGTGAGAGTCTGGGATCCTTTGCACGCACGAAAGGGTGTCGATCATAGATCGCGCTATTCCTAAGAAGGAAGCCAAGTCTCAAGTGTTCACTTTTGTCAGAAAAAGAGGGTCCAGCGGATATCTGGAACAACCAATGGAATCACAATAAAGATAAATGATTGTTATTTGTAACTGTCACTGTCAGGTATCTTGGGTGAACGTTAAACAACAACATCCTACCCTGAAATGTTCTGATACTACACTGTATTTTGCCTCTTCAATGCATTACTACTCAGTTTCATATAGTATATAGACAAAATAATTAAAATTACCACAGTTCATGTTCAGCAGATAAATATATATATATTCACCATATTCCAAGTGTAGTATATATCCTTTGAATGAAATTGATTGTGCCACATGACTTATTGGGGTGTAAGAAAAGTTTGCTGTCTAAAATGTGCGCATGGGCTTGTAGATGGTTATCATTATGGTCACTTCCCAATTGAGTAGCACACAACACCGGAATTCTCATGAAGGCACGTGGAGTATCCGCAGGGCTTCTACGCTACGTCCCGGTAGCTATTGAGATATCTGTTTCTTCATTGACCTATTTACTGGCCCTCATTGAACGCATGTGGGATGTCGATCGGTCTGAAATTTAAAAAATCCGCTGGTGAATCTGGAACTATACTTCTCCCACATGGTTATGTAGCTCATATTAATATGGGCGCACAAGCATCATGGATAAAACATTGATCCTATATAGTTTGCAGCTAATAGAATTACAACTGTTTAGAACTCAAAGGCCTGAAGAAAATCCTCCGAACTTGGAAAAAATGTACTTTAGAACTCGATGGTGTGGAAACAGCTCCTTCAAATTAAAACAAACAGTACGCGAGTTCTTAGGTTGACAATCGGGGGGAAATGAGGGTATCAATTGCCAAGAAGAGCCATTCTTTTAAGTTAAAATGTGCTTTTCGAGGAGAGATAGACTGGAGAAATTCTATAGAAAGTTCACTGATAGAGAGAGGAGCCAGCCAACTAGATGTAAATAAATTGCAATGTGAATAGTTATATAAGCAGATATCGCGAAAGTAGTATATTATGTCGTGGTCTGTGAGGGATATTGTAAAATTAACGTAGTTTCTTTCTTCTGTCATGAGTATGGCAAGCAGCTGAGAACACTCGTTCCATCCGGGCCGATATGTGTGAATCACACCTAAGAAGATGAGGTGAGCGCAGCGCACTTGCACTATTAATGTAAAATGTCATATATACTTTAATCGATCTGAATAATAAGCCTAATAAAGTAGTAAATTTAACATTTCCATACTGTAGACAGATATACTTGTTCACCAGAGCATAGACCTTCCTCTATACATCTGTATTATGGTAGTTGATTCCACGGTGCGACAGTATCACTAGCTTGGCTGAGGGAAGCATAGCGGGTGTAAAATGCAGAGTCTGAATAATTACTCCATTTGACCTATGTTACAATTCGAGTACTAATTACCAAATGCTCGTGAAGACAGAATTTAAGAATGTATCATTCTAGCATTAGTACTGAGAAAACCACAAAACAAAGAGAAGAATTGAAAGAAGAAATGGTCTTATTGGAAAAGAAAAACACTGCCCTATTTGCGAGAACATATACTTAAAGCGTATAACCTCGTGCAAATTTGAACCCCTCCCAGCCAACTGCTCGAGTCTGCTGGCATCGCTTGCGATACTCAATTGCGCTCCCTCCATATCTGGCCACACTCCGAACGGTTTTTCCGGGGACGTTCGTGTTCACTCCAGTCATCCAACTATCAATCTCATTCGACAACGCACCCTTACTGCACTCGATTACATGCTCGGTCCACCTGTCTGCGGCTTCTTCAGTTGCCTCAACTAAGGTGTAACCCTCATTGTGGCAGAACTGCAAT